TTAGTAACATGAAAAGAAACAAACTAAATGTTTAATATCTTTTTCCTTTCATCGATTCACTTAGCAGTCCGCATCACCATTCCACTACAATTTCAATCGACCCGAATTAACATCTAAAAATTTGTAAGAGTGAGTATTCGAAAACATTTAGTAAGATCGTGCAGTTTTCATACACAAATATATAACAAATAAGATCTATACTTCAAACTACTCTGCTCTTATGGAACATATTAGTAACCAAGTGACACACCCATCTTAGATCATCTTATTATCTCGTAGGATTTTATCTCTCTTTTTATAGAATCCGAAGATCCACTGACAATTCATATATATTTAATTGAATATAAAAATATAAGGAAACGAAAACACTTGCACAGAGGTATCTTATCTCATTAAATAAAATGAACTATCGAACAAAATATGAATGCACGTGCCCAAAATCTTTTCTATACTTTAGTGAATAATGGTTGCAGATTGGCTTCTTGTCTTCTAATTCCCAAAAGTATCATCTCTCCCTCTCACGTATGTGTATACATTTTTTGGTGTGGTGAAATATGAGACTCTTGTATAGTATTTATAGTAATAAAAGTGTTTGAGTTATTATAGAAAACGTGTATCACCTATTGGATAAAATTAAGTTTGAGTATTTGGATTATATTTCACTGACAAATTCATAGTCATCCAAATAGAACACTTGGACAATGCTATCACATCAAGCCTATTGGAGTTTGAATTGACTAATTATTTTAATAAAATAAGATAGAATATAATGGAAAAAAATTGTAGTTGTCGCCACTCAAGCATGGTACCAACTACCTAACTAATTAACAAATCTTAATAAAGACAATTTCTTTAAATTTTAATGTTTTTGGCGTAACTGATTCAAATTAACTTTTTCTCGAGCCAAAGATTTCTAATCAATTATGATCTTCGAAATGAGTCCAATATCAATATACCAAATTTTGTTCTATGATCATCTAATTATTAAATCTAACTAAAATGGAAATTAAAAGTCCTATTTCATGTTAGTCCCCAACTTTTAAAGATATAACAATTTGTTTTATTATTATTATTATCATCATCAAGTGCTACAATCCACAAAAGTAAAATTACCTTGGGAGGTACAATTAAGGGTGCATTTGATTGCGATTACAGAAAGAAAATAAAATTTAGGCAATTCAATTGTCCAGAACTTATTTGTATGGAAATTATTAATTAAATGTGTTTGGTTAATTTAGTTCTCAATCTAGAAAATATTATAACTGTCTATTTTTTATTGGTGGGTAGATGATAAATAATGGATTAGAAAATAAAATCTTACTCCCCATAAAAAAATATTTTCTTTGATTTTGAGCAAAATATGGTCACGTGATCAAAAGTAAAAAAATATTTTTCATGGAAAAATGTCAATTAAACAGCACAAAAGTAAAAAATTTGAGTAGAAAAAAATATATTTTTCATGAAAAAAGATTGGCAATTAAACGCACCCTGACAATAACAACGAATGTCATTTTAGCAAAACAATTACGAATTTGACAATTTGTTGGTAAATTATGCACATTTTGTAGGACTTATAATTTATTATTACTTATTATCTATACATTTTGTAGTATCCACAACTTATAAGTAATAACAAATAAGCTATAAGTTGTATGACTCTTGGTGGAACATATGGTTATACATGTCGATAATTGTACTTGTATTTTAGCAATTTTTGTAGGGTTTAACAAAAGGGAATGAAGATTTGCCCTATTTGGTTTGGATAAATTTAATTTTTTTAGTAAATTTTAATAAAAGTTAGTAAAATATATGGTTTAAAATTTGATAAAAGTTATGTATCTCATGAAATATACAAGTGAAAATAGGAAAATTAAGTTTTAATTAATGTTATTGTATTTTTAAAGGAGATTTGACAGTTATTGAAAATAGAATGATATTTATTTGTCAGGGCAATATCAAATTTTAAAGTTAAGGTATTTGTAATGCAAATTCTATATGATTTTCTGCTTTTTTTCAATAAAAGAACGATTAGGAGCCCGTTTGAGCCTCATTAAAGGGCTAAAGATGCAATTTTGAATAGTAGATTGATGAAAAATATGTAATTAAAGAGCAAGAAAAAGCTTTAGGTCTATATATAATACTATTTTATTGAGAATTGTGTTATTGAAGTAAAAAGAGAGAAAAATGTATTTTTAAAATAATGAAGATCAAACAAGGGCTAGATATAGAGACCCATCCCATCGTTTTTTAAAATTACAGAGTCATTATTGAGATTTGTTTTCTATAATATAATTATGAATTTTAAAATTCTTTACAAATAATGTATGCTAAGGTTGTGAATTCATAAAAGAAATGGTTAAAATTGAAAGTTGACACTTGATCGATTGAAAAGCTAGTAAAATTTAGGGATAATTGTAGCAGAGGTCCCAAATGTTTTAAAGAGTTGTAGACTTTTTTATAACATTTCATTCGCCGCAGTCGTCATTTCCAACCTTTTGAAATATTGCGGTTGAAGCCGCAATAGACGGATTTCATCCAAATGTCTATTAGTTTACTAAGAAATTGAGTTTGATCGCCTTTTTTAATAAATGATAAAATAGTAACTTTCCATTTAATAAGATAAGTTGAAAATAAAATAAGAAAAAGAAAAAAATAATAATAATAATAAAAACTGTAGAATAAATTTTTATCTTTGGTATTTATGTAAATTTGGCATGAAATACTATATGGCCTTCGGCTCGAATTATATGTTAAATCCTTCGGGATGGATCGTCAGGTCAAGAAAAGAAGTTAAATCCTATGGGATGGACCTTTGTGTCAATAATATATAAATCCTAGGGAATGTAGGAATTCTTATGAAATTTCTTGAACGATTGGATGTTTCGACCAGTATGCTCTAAATCTAAGAAATGTCGGTGTGCCATGTCATGTCAGTTTTATATTTATATCATGTGAATAAGAATGTGTTCGTATTCTTATTGAGTGTTTTCAAAATACTCACTCTTACAATATTTTCAGATGAGAACGGGTCGTGTGGACACGTGGAAGATTGACAGAGTGATATTAATGGGGTCGTCAAGTAAATTTTCTAGAAAGATAATTGTCCACTTTTATTTGAAGAATATCGCATGCATATTATTTAATATGTTGTTCAAGCATTTGATATGTTATGTTAAATTTTAAATTAATAATTTAAAATCAAGTATTTTCGATATATTTCCGCTTAAATTAGATAGAGAAAAGTTTTGGTAGCACCTCTAGCTTATTTTAATTTAAAAATAATATAATAATATGAAAAAAAGAGTTCGGGATGTTATAGCTTACTTTGTGGCTGTGAGATTGACAGTAGCCTTTTTGTGATCTCCTTACTCGACGAGGTCGAGTTTTTCTCCCATTTTGGGAGAGTTGATGTGGACATCATTCTCATCAGACCATTTGTTGGGCCCTTTACCTTCTATTTATTAAATTTAGACTTTATGTTTCATTGGGCTTGTATATGGGTTGGCTCAAGCCCAAGTTTATTATTTTGTTATTTATGATTGTAATTTGGATTGAAAGATCAGTTTGATGAATGAAATATATTTTGTGATCACGTCTCTCTTCTCTCTCCCAGTTTCCCCTCTCTTCTCCTCTCACCTCCTCCTCCTTCTTCCTCTTCCTCCTGATTATTTCTACATCATGGACTTTCATATAAGAAGTGCAAAATTCCTTGTATATTGTTAGCTAAAACTTGCAGTTGTTGCAAGAAACTGTGCATTTTAAAGGCCCTACATTTTTTTTTCATATTAAGTTGTGCCACTCTGTTTATTTACTTCGAGGATTTGCATTATGGCTCTTGAAGCTGATGAAAGTTTTTTATGTCTTTTTTAATTGGTTAAGAGTCAATCTGGCACAAAAGAACCTGCAGGTGGAAATAGTAGTCATCCAGTAAATCATTCTGACATTGGTGGGATATCTGAGCTTGAGCAACTGTTAAAGCAGAAGACATTCACCGGGTAAGGCTCTGGAAAATTGTCACCGGTCATGAACAGGTTGCTTGCATGTTTACATGCAAGATGTCTATATTGAGAGCCGAATGCTCTAGACAGCTGAAGATTTTGCCAGGGTTTCCTTTAATATAAAAGTTGAGACCCTTTTCTATGTTCATGTTCAAAATTTCAAATCTGGAGCAACTGAGCTTAGCCTTTAGCATAAGCCTCTGAAAATCGATTTGCAAGTCTTCAAGGCATTGGATGTGTGGTGTTTAAACCTTGAGTGGTGTACGCCTTAAGCATATGCCTCAATTAACTCCTTAAATCACTAGGGCACCATTTGATTGGCAAAACATTTCCATGGAAAATAGAATTTGGGTGGCATTTTCCAACTTTGGTGTGTTTGATAGGGGTTTATATTTCATGAAATAGAAATTCTTGGATTTCTTGGGAGCTGCACTATTCTTCATTTTGTGGAAATATGGTGGGAATTGATTTTCCCGGTTACATTTTTTTTCCTTTTTTTTTTTTAAAAATAAATTCTAAGAATTATTGTAAAAAATATTTTCCTTCAATTTACAATTTTTATATAAAAAAAGTCAAATGAATACCAAAAGATAGATGATTTTCTTGAATTTATTTTATTATTATTATTTTTTTATTTTTTTTTTGCAATGGAAACAAATTTCAACCCTAATACCAGTAAATTCATCCCCTAAAAAACACTTATATATAACATTTTTCACGTGAAGAATTATATCAATCAAACACAATAACTTATAATTCCTAGGAAAATAATTTCTAGATAATTCAATTTCCTGGAATTTGTTTTCTTTCCACCCAAATTTCATCTTTGCAACCAAACGGACCCTAGGTGTAATTTCTTTCACAGTGGTAACTTTGCCTTTCAAGATCTAACGAGATTACATGTTTTTGGGTTACTATCCAATTCCTTTTTTCTAGGGAATCCTCTTTTTGCTTTCTTTTACATGCAAAATCTTAAATGAATTCCTCGAAAGGATATTTTGATGTACATGTCAGGGTGAATGTTTAACTAAGTATGCTATCTTAAGGTCCTGAAGTTTGTATTTCTGTTGAGCTTGAGTCATTAATCATTGATGCAGATCTGAGATTGAACACCTCGTGGAACTATTACATTCACGAGCTGAAGAAGTGCTGGCAGGCGAAAGAACTCAAGAAGCATTACCAGAGCTAGCATCCAGTTTAGGAAGGCATCGACAGTTCTCGAGTAGTCCATTGGAAGAAGATAGAAATGAGAGGGGTAGATATCATGGAGTCAATACTACTATATCCAATTCGAGAGTACGATAGTATACTTATTTTACATGCACAATACTTGTATCATTTGTTAATTTGTATGCAATATTTTCTTGTAGCATCTGCATTAAGATAAGGTACCAGAAGAGTTTTCATTGATATTTATTTGGAAGAAATATTTCCAGGTCCTTGAGGATGATATTGCTTCTCCAGCTGAACTTGCAAAAGCTTACATGGGCAGTGGGCCTTCAAAGATATCGCCTTCAAAGTTGGTGATGCGGGGTCAAATTGGTAGGGATGATGCTAGATTGCTTGGCAATGTTCCGTTTACTCCAAAATCACCTTTCATGTCATCGACAACCAGAGTTGCTGTTAACGTTGGGGTTCCAGAGAATAGTTTTATAACCCCAAGATCTCGAGGCAGATCAGCAATTTACAACATGGCTCGTACTCCATGTCCCAGAGTTAACCCAACAGCCATTCTCAAGGTTCAATTATGTCATTAAATATATGTGTAGTAAATGCTTGCTGTTTCTGGAGTTCAAAATATACCATATTAATGGATGCACATATTATATATATTGGTTAATTTTCATTCAATTCAACTGCAAATATCCTTTCTCAGGGTTATCTTTTTGGTAGTAGCAGTGGATCCCTGGTGTCTGGCACTGTTACCCAAAGCATGCCTATTTCATTTGGATCATCTTTACCATCTTCCAGTATCACTAACAATACATCATTTGCATCTTCATCGGCCAATTCCCGAGTGCCCAGTACAATCATTAATTTTGGTTTCTGTTCTGCCGCTTCCTCATCTAAAAGCAATGCAGCTGGCCTTGGCAGTGGGCCAACAGCCAGTGTATTCAATTTCGGTGTGAGTTCTGCTGTTGCTTCAGATGTTGGCGCCATTAGCTCCAACAGTGGTGCCACTCTTGGACTATATAGTTTTGGTCTCGGTTCTTCCTCCTTCTCTGCCAATGTAGTTGGCTCTAGCAGTGGTGCCACTCCTAGTATATTCAGCTTTGGTAGCAGTTCTGCAGCTTCAACATCGGGAATCAATGCCGCTAGCTCCTTCAGCAGTGGTACTTCTGATATATTCAGTTTTGGTGCAAGTTCATCGGCTTCCTCTTCAGCAACCAACTCCGTTAGCTCTAGCAATCCTACTATCAACTTATTTGGTTCGAGTTGGCAGAGTCCCAAGTCTCCTATTCTTGGTTCTACTTTTACTTCTCTTTCCTCATCTGAAACTAGCAATTCTACTATCAACTTATTTGGTTCGAGTTGGCAGAGTCCCAAGTCTCCTATTCTTGGTTCTACTTTTACTTCTCTTTCCTCATCTGAAACTAGCAATTCTACTATCAACTTATTTGGTTCGAGTTGGCAGAGTCCCAAGTCTCCTATTCTTGGTTCTACTTTTACTTCTCTTTCCTCATCTGAAACTAGCAATTCTACTATCAACTTATTTGGTTCGAGTTGGCAGAGTCCCAAGTCTCCTATTCTTGGTTCTACTTTTACTTCTCTTTCCTCATCTGAAACTAGCAATTCTACTATCAACTTATTTGGTTCGAGTTGGCAGAGTCCCAAGTCTCCTATTCTTGGTTCTACTTTTACTTCTCTTTCCTCATCTGAAAGCAATGCAGCTGGCCTTGGCAGTGGGCCAACAGCCAGTGTATTCAATTTTGGTGTGAGTTCTGCTGCTGCTTCAGATGTTGGCGCCATTAGCTCCAACAGCGGTGTCACTCTTGGACTATATAGTTTTGGTCTCAGTTCTTCCTCCTCCTCTGCCAATGTAGTTGGCTCTACCAGTGGTGCCACTCCTAGTATATTCAGCTTTGGTAGCAGTTCTGCAGCTTCAACATCGGGAATCAATGCTGCTAGCTCCTTCAGCAGTGGTACTTCTGGTATATTCAGTTTTGGTGCAAGTTCATCGGCTTCCTCTTCAGCAACCAACTCCGTTAGCTCTAGCAATCGTACTACTAACTTATTTGGTCAGCCAACCGTCTCACCTTCTCCCCCTGGCTTCATGTTTGGGTCAACAGTGCCATCTTCTGTTCCTTTATTTGGTCAACCAACCTTCTCACCTTCTCCCTCTGACTTCATACTTGGGTCAACAGTGCCAGCGCAACCTAATTCCTTTCAATTTGCTGGCCAGCAACATCAAGTTGCTCCACAGAGCCCTTCTCCATTTCAGGCATCAGCTAGAACAGAATTCAATACGAGTGGGAGCTTCTCATTGAGAAGTGGTGGTGGTGACAAGTTAGGGCGAAAATATGTGAAAGCTAATGGAAGTAAGAACCAGAAGAAGTAAAGACGGTGAATGGTATAGCTGTTGTATCCTTCATTGAATTTCCGCCCTTTTTTAAAGCAAATATTCTGTAGGCACAGTTTCATCAATTTTGTACCGTGTTAAAAATTGCAATGTACGAGGAGGCGACACTGGGTAACGGGATTGTGTTATTGATGGCGCTTGTGTATTTCTATGTAACATGAAGGAATTGTTCATAAATCTTTCCAAGGAAGCATGTTAAGTTCCATTTCACTATCTTAGCTGTTGTCTTCATCAGCAGATTATCACCCTTGCAGCTTTTGTACATACAAGTCTCCCAGTCGATCCTCTTGTATCTTTTATTTGCAGGGAGAGCCTTTTGTGTTGTAAATGTACTGTTTGTAGACCTTCTTGCTATTGTTGTGCAGTGTTAATCTATAGGTTGTCCAGATTTGTTGTCTTCTGTGTTTAGTTTTTGTTTATGTCGGACTCAAATTTTGTAGTGCTTTTCAGATGAATGCTGGATAAGGATGATTAATTATTTTTGCTTTTTTATTCCTAAGGGATGTTTGTGAATACAAGAAATGCAGCACAATCTTTTAGTAATGATCATTTTGAGAATAAAAAAAATTGAATGAAAGCATGGAGCTTGGTTGAGCTTTAAAAAGTTAGCCCCTATTTGGTATAGCTTAAAATCAAAATTTTAATTTGAGTTAAATTCAACAATTAATCTTAATCACATAGTTTATGCGATCCACAAATTTTCAATCACATATTTCATAAATTTTTATCAAAATCTATTAAGAATCTAATTTTAATATCTATCTGAAAAGGGCTTAATATGTACTTTTTGGATGCATGGTAAAATGACATGGGTTAGTTGTGTGGCGCCAATGAGCAAGAACTATAGTTAAAAAGAAGGATAAAGGATGAAATTAACATTATTCAAAAGTTTAAGGACTAAATTAATGATATTAAAAACTTGGAAGGGTGGAATTAACATTATTAAATAGTATGAGGATGAAATTAACTATAGAGAAAAGTTTATGGATGGAATTAATATTATTTAGAAGTTGAAGGATGAAATTGAAGATATTGAAAATTTGAAGGTAGATATAACATTATTAGATAGTTTGAGGATGAAATAAACATCGCTAAAATGTTGTTGGATTAAATTGATAATCTAGAAAAGTTGAAGGTTGATCTTACATTATTAAATCGTTTGAGGATAAAGTTGAGGATATTGAAATGTTAAAGGATGAAATTAACATTATTAAACAGTTGAAGGATTAAATTTACGATCTAGAAAAGTAGAAGGTTGATTTTACATTATTAAATAGTTTGAGAATGAAGTTGAGGATATTGAAAAGTTAAAGGATTAAATCACATTATTCATAAGTTAAAGAATGAGATTGAGGATATTGAAAAGTTGAAGGATGAAACTCACATTGTAAGAATTTGAAGGATTAAATTGCCGATCTTGAATTGTTGAATGATGGATATAATGTTATTAAATAGTTTGAGGATGAAATTGAGGATATTGAAAAGTTAAAGGATGAAATTCACGTTATTAAGAAGTCGAAGGATTAAATTGATGATATAGAAGAGTTGAAGGACGGATTGTACATTATTAAATAGTTTGAGGATGAAGAAAAAACGAGTAATACATAGAAGAATTTTGAATTAATTGGTTCTCGAATTATTCAAATAGATATAGTCCTTGTTTGAGTCCCATTTTGGGAGAGAAAATGAATTTTTAAATAGTTATTGATGAAAAATATGTAGTTAAAAATTAAGAAAAAATTTTGAATTTACGTGTAATATTATTTTATTGAAAAATATGTAGTTGAAATGATATTGAAATACCGTTGAAAAATGTATTTTTTTAAAATAATGAGGCTCAAACAAATACCTAAAGTATGATCTACATATTTGTGATAAGGATGGCAATGGGTCGAGTCGAGTCGAGCCTGCTCGGCCCTTTAACTCACGAGCTCGGCTCGACTCACGAGTTCGGCTTGACTCACGAACCGCTCGCAAGCTTGTGATTATTATTGTTGTTGTTATTTTTTTTTTATTTTTTTTGCAAATTTGTACATTTTTTACGAGCCCACGAGCTCGTGAACTTGGGCACGAGCCACTCGCGGGCTCGACAGATTAAGCCCCATGTTCAGCTCAGGCTCGGACTTGTTATTTGACGATCTTGAGCCACCCACGAGCTGAATTTTAACGAGCCGCTCGACCTGTTTGACATCCATATTTGTGAACAAGTCAAAATTCGTTGAGAAAATTTGTTTATGCTCAACGGATCACACTTCATAAAAAAAAAAAATTGTTTCGGTACTCCAACAAAATTTGAGGAACGATTTCACCAAATTCAACATTTTCTAACGTTGTCAATATAAAAGCATGTTAGTGTCCTTGCGTTTGGAGATCTTGTATTGGAAAACATTCAATCTTGTAGTATAATTTTTATATCAATTCGTTAGTTTGATGAACGGGAAAAGAAAAAAATTAAAACAAAAAAAACAACAACAAAATGAATCCAATGACAGAGATAATGGTTAGTACTCTCTTTGAATTAAAATTTTACAATTTAATTAAACGGTGAAGATTAGAGGGCATACAAGGAATTAACATTTTTATATGTATGCAATAGATATCGAAATTCCATGTAATGCCCCAAAATTATTATTATTATTATTATTATTATTATTATTATTATTATTATTATTATTATTTATAAAAATTGGAGTGTTATAAAAAACTCAATTTTCTTTTTAATAAATACGTAACAACACAAATTTAAGAAATTCTTTTTTTTTCAACCATAACTATCAATTTAAACACGAGATCTGAGTTTCTAAAATTTAAAGACAATCAATGGACTAATTAAACAAACGAGTATTTGAACAAATAAAACTAATAATTAAATTTAGTAACATGAAAAGAAACAAACTAAATGTTTAATATCTTTTTCCTTTCATCGATTCACTTAGCAGTCCGCATCACCATTCCGCTACAATTTCAATCGACCCGAATTAACATCTAAAAATTTGTAAGAGTGAGTATTCGAAAACATTCAGTAAGATCGTGCAGTTTTCATACACAAATATATAACAAATAAGATCTATACTTCAAACTACTCTGCTCTTATGGAACATATTAGTAACCAAGTGACACACCCATTTTAGATCATCTTATTATCTCGTAGGATTTTATCTCTCTTTTTATAGAATCCGAAGATCCACTGACAATTCATATATATTTAATTGAATATAAAAATATAAGGAAACGAAAACACTTGCACAGAGGTATCTTATCTCATTAAATAAAATGAACTATCGAACAAAATATGAATGCACGTGCCTAAAATCTTTTCTATACTTTAGTGAATAATGGTTGCAGATTGACTTTTTGTCTTCTAATTCCCAAAAGTATCATCTCTCCCTCTCACGTATGTGTATACATTTTTTGTTGTGGTGAAATATGAGACTCTTGTATAGTATTTATAGTAATAAAAGTGTTTGAGTTATTATAGAAAACGTGTATCACCTATTGGATAAAATTAAGTTTGAGTATTTGGATTATATTTCACTGACAAATTCATAGTCATCCAAATAGAACACTTGGACAATGCTATCACATCAAGCCTATTGGAGTTTGAATTGACTAATTATTTTAATAAAATAAGATAGAATATAATGGAAAAAAATTGTAGTTGTCGCCACTCAAGCATGGTACCAACTACCTAACTAATTAACAAATCTTAATAAAGACAATTTCTTTAAATTTTAATGTTTTTGGCGTAACTGATTCAAATTAACTTTTTCTCGAGCCAAAGATTTCTAATCAATTATGATCTTCGAAATGAGTCCAATATCAATATACCAAATTTTGTTCTATGATCATCTAATTATTAAATCTAACTAAAATGGAAATTAAAAGTCCTATTTCATGTTAGTCCCCAACTTTTAAAGATATAACAATTTGTTTTATTATTATTATTATCATCATCAAGTGCTACAATCCACAAAAGTAAAATTACCTTGGGAGGTACAATTAAGGGTGCATTTGATTGCGATTACAGAAAGAAAATAAAATTTAGGCAATTCAATTGTCCAGAACTTATTTGTATGGAAATTATTAATTAAATGTGTTTGGTTAATTTAGTTCTCAATCTAGAAAATATTATAACTGTCTATTTTTTATTGGTGGGTAGATGATAAATAATGGATTAGAAAATAAAATCTTACTCCCCATAAAAAAATATTTTCTTTGATTTTGAGCAAAATATGGTCACGTGATCAAAAGTAAAAAAATATTTTTCATGGAAAAATGTCAATTAAACAGCACAAAAGTAAAAAATTTGAGTAGAAAAAAATATATTTTTCATGAAAAAAGATTGGCAATTAAACGCACCCTGACAATAACAACGAATGTCATTTTAGCAAAACAATTACGAATTTGACAATTTGTTGGTAAATTATGCACATTTTGTAGGACTTATAATTTATTATTACTTATTATCTATACATTTTGTAGTATCCACAACTTATAAGTAATAACAAATAAGCTATAAGTTGTATGACTCTTGGTGGAACATATGGTTATACATGTCGATAATTGTACTTGTATTTTAGCAATTTTTGTAGGGTTTAACAAAAGGGAATGAAGATTTGCCCTGTAATTAAAGAGCAAGAAAAAGCTTTAGGTCTATATATAATACTATTTTATTGAGAATTGTGTTATTGAAGTAAAAAGAGAGAAAAATGTATTTTTAAAATAATGAAGATCAAACAAGGGCTAGATATAGAGACCCATCCCATCGTTTTTTAAAATTACAGAGTCATTATTGAGATTTGTTTTCTATAATATAATTATGAATTTTAAAATTCTTTACAAATAATGTATGCTAAGGTTGTGAATTCATAAAAGAAATGGTTAAAATTGAAAGTTGACACTTGATCGATTGAAAAGCTAGTAAAATTTAGGGATAATTGTAGCAGAGGTCCCAAATGTTTTAAAGAGTTGTAGACTTTTTTATAACATTTCATTCGCCGCAGTCGTCATTTCCAACCTTTTGAAATATTGCGGTTGAAGCCGCAATAGACGGATTTCATCCAAATGTCTATTAGTTTACTAAGAAATTGAGTTTGATCGCCTTTTTTAATAAATGATAAAATAGTAACTTTCCATTTAATAAGATAAGTTGAAAATAAAATAAGAAAAAGAAAATAATAATAATAATAATAAAAACTGTAGATCTTCTTCAACGGTTCAACCTCCTCTAAACCCCAGTGTTACCCGAAAACTTATCCATCTATATTTCCGTGATCCCGTCGATCACGCAAAAACCACCGCCTAACAATTTGCAGTTGCTCTGGCTTTCTCATCTCAACCACTTTCACCCCCAGCCTTCTCAACACGACACCAGCCACACAAACACACAATTGACCATTTTGTCCCTACTCGTTATCGTTGAAGTGCAATGCTTAATTCAAGGGATTATACTAGAATTTTTCGATCTTGCACTGGGCGCTCTTATTGAACCGCCGGATGAATGTCTTCCATTTAGGCCCAGGCACTACCTCCAACCATTTTCTGGCTTTCTTTAATGCTTTTATTCCCCCATCGCACTGATCGCCATTGATAATCTTCTGTTGTTTCTTCAATGTCGAAATCTACCCCAAATATCGGAACCTAAAATTCCAAAAGCGATAGCAGGCACGGCTGGAGGATGCTCGTTCCTGTATATCATCGTTTAAGTCCGTTTCTTTATGTCAAAAATTTGGGGTGGTTTGGTTTCGATTTTGAGGATTTTGGGGTTGGAGTTGGGTTGGGTGTGGCGTAGGTGAAGAAAACTATAGATGATTATTTTATTTACTTTATTAGTTTTTAAAAGATAATATTATAAATATAAAACTATCATTATTCCCTTTTCAAAATTATAAAAAAAAATTGGTCAAACTCAATTTTTTGGCCAACTAACGAATATTTGGATAGAATCGTCCATTGTGGCTTCAATTGAAACATTTTCGAAAAGTGAGGAGTGACGATTGCAATAAATGAAAAGTTATGAAAATGTCTGCAATTATTTGAAAAGTTTAGGGCCTCTACTGCAATTATCAGTAAAATTTAAGGAAAAAAAAAAAAAAAAGGTTGAACCCCAACCTTAAGGGCCCCCACCGACCCTGCCCTAAGCCATCGTGGAGGAGGTAAATTGCAGGATGTGCCTCCCAGGAGTCAGGGTGGAGAGCACGTGGATAGGCCAATGCTGTTAACCCATATGGTAACTCCCGCTTGCAACAAAGTCAATTCCACCTTGCGGGGAATCGAACTCTGCACACTGCCGCGCTGAGCCCTATCCGTCCTCCCCTTTGCCACTGGGAGATATGCCCGTAAAATTTAAGAAAATGTTTTACCCGGCAAGGACTTAGTATGGAACACAAGGAGGTTAAAGATTATAACTCTCATCAAAATGTTCTATAATTATTTTCCCAAAAATAATTTGGTATTATACATTCAAGTGTTTTTTTTTTTTTTTTTTTTTAACCTTCCATATAAAGTTCTAGAAATCTCTATATAAATATGTTTGATGTAGATTTTTGAGAATTTTTTTTTTGTGAAAAGTGCTTTTAATGTATAGTTAAAAAATAATAATGAATCAATGTGAATAATTATTTTATTTGGAGAATTTGTAATTGAAAAAGATTATAAAAAGAATTCTAAAAAAATCCTTACCAAACATGGGCTATTGACGAGCGTGTTTTTATTCACGAGTTTTACACAATTTTAATTTGATTATTTGCTAGATCTTAAGATTATAGAACTTTTTTTATATGTTTGATGTGGGACATGTTCGGGAAAAGGTACTAGTAGAGGGAAAACATCCTAATTTCGGATTGGCCCATAAGATCATTTTGAAAAGAGGACGACGAGATAAACAATACTCACAGCTTTGCTATGCTGTTCGATGAATTTCAGCCATTTGAGTTCGTTTGAGACTTGAAAATTGATTTTTAAAATTTTGGCATTATTTTTGTTATATCAATTATTTTGGTTTTTTTTTTTCCAATTTTAATTTGTTTAAATTTTGTTTCCATTAATCTACCAAAATTCTTGTTTTTTTGCTTGAATTCCTTGTTTTGTGCTGCGTCAATGTTTGTTAGTGTTGTTTTGAATGTTAAGCAGGGTGGAGTAAAAAGAAGTACTAAACTGAACAAAGAAACTAAAATCAACGAATTTAGAGCAACAAGTCAGCACCCAAACACTGGATACCAAGAACTGCAATTCGCAAAAAAAAAGCAGTTTTGGACGAAAATGTAGCGCCCAGGCACTGCACTCATAGCTCTTAGCACTGTCCCTAGCGCTTAGGCATCGCATTTATAGCGCCTAGGCGCTGCCTAGACTAAAGTCACACTTAGGCGCTACATTACAGCACTTAGGCAACGCGCGTCTATTTTATGATTACACGATTTTGGCCTGTAAAAAGTCCATGAAGACTCCAATTTTGGGAAGAACGTGAAGGGGAGTATAAAATAGAGAAATTGAGTGTTTCAAAAAGAGATTCCGCATATTGAGAGACACAATATACAACGTGAAATTTAGAGAAAAAGTCGAAAGAAAGGAAATAAGAATTCAAGATCTAGGTTTTGAATTCAAGATTGGAGGCAAGAAGAGAACTTGGTGCAAGATTTATCCTCTTTCTACATCTAAATTCTAACACATGGTAATGTACTTCATGAAAATTTTTAGTTTTTCTTCCATTATCAAGAGTAGTTAAATTTAATATTAAGGCAAACAATGTAATCTTTTGAGACCCTTTATTTCTTTCATTCAATATTCAAGTTGTTTAAATGAATGTGTTGGTTTTAATTATGTACTTAATGCTTTGAATTTTTAGCCATTCATTTAGCTCCCGTTTGGTCCTCATTAATTTCTATTACATTACATTTTATTATTTCTCTCCTATTTTCAACCACGCAATCTTTTATAAAATAATATTACACGTAAATAAAAAAATTTTCATTTTTTTTCAACTACTCATTTAAAAAAAAAAAAAATACTATTCCATCAATTTTCAACTCTACAATGGGGGCCAAATGGGTGCTTAATGATTTCGTGAGTCTATTACGAATCGAGATATGGGTTTTAGATTGAGACTACATATTAAAATTCGATAAATTAATAGAGATACTTATATTAATTACAAAGGTCTTAGATCAATTCTTAGAAATGATATTTCATTTAACTAAGCTTGATTCGCATCGAGATATGGAGTTGAATCAGTTAAATAGGCTTAATGAAAATTCAATAGAGGTAAATTGGATATAATAGAAGAATCCGATCAAAAACTACATGAGGTGTGAATCTTGAATTACAATTTAAAGGTGACCACTAGATGAAATTATTACGCTTTAATATTCATCCCATATTTGAATCTTCAACCTATCTTTTTGTGCAGTTTTGATATTTTCAAGTATTTACAAAAAAATAATAATTAAAACTGTTTTGTTTATATTTGTTAAATAATATTTAGAGATATTAAAATTAGGCATTAAAGTATAGCTCTTGTGGGAACAATAATTCGCACTCAAAGGTCCATTATATTATTTGTTCGATATTGTATACTTGCTATAGAAAAAACGCAATAGCTATATCTTTTACAATGAGACAATGTATTTATATATCTAATATTAATAAGTTCATCTTTTCCTTTTTAGTCCCCATTTCAAAAGAATTCAAGAACAATTTAATTTATAAATAGATAAAAATGAATAATACTTGCAAAATAATTAAACATGTTGCTGAAATGAAGTTGGATCAATTTACAAATTATTTATAAATTTGTCAATGTAAGGCTCAGGGAATTTCCAACCATACATCAAATCTCTCCACCAATTTGGCGTAACACTTCATTTAGTGTGATTTTAGAGTGTTCATAATTTTTATTTTGTCAATCATTTTATATTACAACACATTTTAATTCCTATTATGTTACTTTTATTATTTAGTGATTTAACTTTATTTTAATTTAATTATTATTTTCAAATAACATTTGATTATTTATTTTAACTTTATTATTTTTAACTGTGATATTAAGGCCTTATTTGTCTATTATTCTACTTCATTTTACTACATTATTTTTTCTACAGTACTCATTTTCAACCACACGTTCTTCATTAAAATAATATTACACATAATAAAAAAATTTCTTTTTTTTCACAACACATTTCAACATCAATCATTATTCTATAATACATTATTCACAAATAATGGGGTACAAACAAGCACTACGTTTAATGTTTTTAGTATATCAATAAACAAAAATATATTTATTTAATTAAATATAAATTTAATACTAATATAATTTTTAATCAAATATTCATTAAAAATAAATTAATTATTGAAAATTAAAATAAGAAAATATTGATCATTTTACGTAATGATTGAAGATATTTTTGTAAAATCTATAATAATAAAAATATATTAAGGGCCGTTTAAGCCACATTATTCCAAAAAAATGTATTCTTAAACAGTGTTTTGACATCATTTCAACCACACATTCTTCAATAAAATAATATTACAAGCAAATAAAAAAATTTCTTATTTTTTAACCACGTATTTCTCATCAATACACTATTCAAAAATGTATTTTTTATGAAAATAATGTGGCTCAAACAAGGGCAAAGTCAATGGATTAGTTTAGCCATGGATATCTAAAATGGTTAAATAATGGTTTAGTGGGGTCTTCTCTAGTTAATAATTGATCAAAGGAAAAGTACTAAAGAAGCAGAACCATTACCACATTTTCTAATACTTCTTGTTTCTTGCCTTTTTTCAATAAGTGATTGCTTCTAAAAGTAGGACAAGAAATTATTATTATTATTATTATTTTTTAAAATTAGGAGGATATAAGCCAAGGCTTTAGGAAACAAATTGAAACTTCATGTTCGAAAATCGTAGTCGATATAATAACAAATCGAAACTTCATGTTCGAAAATCGTAGTCGATATAATTGAACAATAAATGTTTACTTTTTATTTTTTAATACTGTTCAATACTATAGAGTTTAGTTTAAGAAGCTTTTAAATGCACTAAAGTTCCAATAGCGGAGGTCTGGGCAGATGGCATAACAAAAGGTGATTTTGAGATGCAGTACCACGCCACCCCACGCTGGCCCCCAATCCCTACTCCTAATCCTATCATTACTGGCTAAAGGAAAGTAGGTTAGACTTTTACATTATTAAATATTATTAAAACGAAAGAAGTTAAAATTTTATTTATCGAAAAAAGGTTTAACTACAAACAATTTTTTATATGAGTAGATTGCTTGAAAGGAAGAATAATTGAAGATTGAGATTCGATATTTAGAGAATATATTTCCCATATATCGTAAATTCTATAATAAAAAGCAATGACCAATAATAATTAACATAACCCTAATATTCGACTTCTCTTTCTCTCTGTCTTCCTGCATTTTCCCTCTCTAAATTTCATACTCTATACAAGACTTCAATTTCAAATGGCGACGGCGGGCGAAGGAGGAGTCACAACCAACACAGACGGCATCGCTTCCTCTTACGATGGTGGGGGAGGAGAAGGGGTGGGAGGAAGGTCCCGCAGGAGGCCGTTCCGTAGAGCCCATCATACGACGCCGTACGATCGCCCTCTCACTGCTTTCCGAGGAATTACCACCGCAGCGATCAACAATATCAACTCTAGCTGGTTGAATAAGCTCGTGGTGGACCCGGCCTCCAAGCTCATCTCTTATGGGGCTCACCGCTTCTTTGCCTCCGTTCTTCGCAAACGTCTCCCACCTCCTCCCCAACTAACAGGTATACGTTCCAGTTTAATTTTTTTCTCCAGAAAATGGTTTTCTTATTTGGTCTCGCAATTTGGTATATTAGTTTCGTTTTATTCAATTTCGTGTGAAAATTTTGATTCGAGGTTTAATTTTTTATACATTTTGATTTCTTGCTCCTATATTTGCATGTGTTTTGTGGAGTCATTCAGATTGGATTTTTACTCTTGGTCCGATGGTGAATTGGTAGGCTTTGAGTAATATTGGTGAATGATTTTTTGCTTTGAACCCTGTAGCCAACATATAAGTTTCGAGTATCTGAATTAATTTGTTATTTGTTTATTTACACGAAATGAATATTTCTTTTTTAGTTTAAGGTTAATACAATGTAGTATTCATTATATTTATGTGAGTGTCTACTGACTAGAGCTCAGTGTTAATTAGGGAAAATGAAGAAGTTCTAATTTCTGAAGGATTTTAGTTTTTAGAAATTTAGGTTAAAATCAATTTACCAATGAAAAATGAATTAGCCTTTACAATTCCAGCACACCGTTTTCTCTGTCCTTTTATCACTTCTTAAGTGATTCATATTGCACAATCTTATAGATCTGTCAATTCGAAGTTCAATTGCTTAATCTTGCGTGCTTTGCGAAGAAATGACTTTATATTTATTTCTGCACTTGTGTATGGCAATGCTGCTTTTGTCATTTAAGCTATGTTTCACATTCTTATGATCTTTGCAATAGCTGCCACCATATATTTCTATTTCATACATCATCACCGTCACCATCATCATTATTTTTATTATTATTGTATCGAACTAGGTGCAGTTTTTTCACAATAAAGACGTGTCTATTTTGAAGGAGTCGTGATTCAATAATGCAATTTCTATTTCTTTCCATCGGCAAGCACATTCACGGTGACTGTCTGATGCGACTTCTCTTCCTAGGTGGTGGCTTATCATTTCTTTTTATGATCTAAAAGAAGATAATTAAGACATGGGCTATTTATGGGATACATACCTCAGGAGGTGTGAAGTTTATTACTCTGTCTGAGTGAGACCTAATTGATTTTATTATCCGTTACAGAGGCAAATGATGAATCGAGCGACGGGCTTCAGGAGGCGATTCCTAATGTAAGTGTTATTATACATGTTTACTTGTCCTGAAAGTTGTATTTCTTTTGGCTTTTACGCTCTTCTATTTCCATTCTCAAAATATTAATTTATATAGATTGCTAAAATTTTTAACTCAGTATCGTAGTTGAGCTTATTTATACGTTGGTCACACCTGCGCTGATACGGACCATCTACATTCTGTCTTTTTTAAAATGGATAGAAAAGTAATAAAAAAATTTGGGAGTTGGATTTGGAGAAGATGGCTCCTTCACTAGATTGTTTGTTTAGAAAGTTGACCTTGCTATATAGGCCTGCGACCTGATTATTGGATCTACTAATTTTGGTTATTTTAGAATTCTTGATTAAGCTGTCTTGCCTAACTGATGGGAAATGGTGAATTGGGGTTTATTTGAGATCTGAAAGTAATATGTTATTAAAAGATGTTCCGTAATGTTATCACAAACATGCAAGACATTGGACAACAACAAAAAATATAAAAGAAAGAGTGAAATGACTGAAGTCACACTTTGCAATTTGAAACATTGCAACTTCAATCTGTATGTGGATCTGAGTGTGGGGTTCGGAGTATCATACTTAACTTATAGGAGGCTATCACACAAATGATTCTTTATCTGTTCTCTTCTCTAGTCTTAGAATCTTCTCTTTCTAGTTCACTGGTGAGTTTTGTTTACAACAACTCGAAAAACCCTTCAAATCTCTCTGGAATATGAAGCCCAAAAAGCGAAGGCAAAAAATTCCAGAATTGGAAAGAGTAAAAAGCATCTCATACCTCAGGTGGGCCAAAGTTTGTGCACTGAGATGTGCACCTCAGCAAGTCTAGGCATAAAACTTAGCAATTGAACTAAAAGAGTAAACTTTGAGGTTCTTAATGAGCTTTGCATAATTTTGGAGCGCTTTTAAAAAAAAAAATGGAGCGTCACTTGTTATTTAAATGTTATTTACTTATAAGTAGTTTATCCTCAGATGAGGATTCGAAATATGTTCAATCTTTACATAGAGAAGTTGTCAACTTTAGAAGAATGCAAATATAATAAGATAAGTTGGAACTGTGTGAGGAGTGACTTTTGTTCCGAACACACATTCCATGTAGGGCATATTTCACCCCAGTGCATACACGCACCTTCTGTTACTTCCTTGGAAGTCTTATCGCTGAGTTAGCTCCGATTGTCATGAGTTGTAGATATTCCTTCCACCTATGTTATTTAGCCCCTGTTTGTGCCCCATTTTTGTGAGAAATGAGTTTTGTAATGGTAATTTTTTCAGAGAATGTGTTTAAGAAGTAGGAAAAATTTTGGGGATTACAGGGAAAATTATTTTATTGGATGAATGTGTCATTGAAAATGAATTTGAAGAGAAATGAGTTTCTAGAAAATGGGGCTCAAAATGTGGGCTTATCATCTCCTCCTTTTAACCAAGTTTAGGAAAAGAATCCTATTGACACCTCACCACTACAATCTCAAATTTCATCTCTACCCCACATGTTTGTCACATTTACCAAAATGAGTTGCAATATGTTGATTTTTTTCCCCTCAATTTCTACTGCCACCTTTGAATGGACAATTTTTTAGGTGTTGACATCTTACATGAGACATCCAAAATGTGTGAGTAACATGAGACAGAGGAAGTCTAAACTAATCAGATCAATGACGAATGTTGTCCATCAGTATTCACTTTTATGGACTGGTAGAAGAGGCAGAAAAATTCTTCTTGATCAACGTTTATGTGAACTCTCTCTTGATAGTGCCGGGCATTTATATCAATGAACAAATGTTTCAACTCACTATGAAGAGTTGAAAAGAATAAATGTCATTGAGTTGTGATTTGCATCAGTATTCATACATCTTGTAAACCAATATTAATTGCTTATTGAGCTTATGGACGTCTTCAGAAGTATATTTATGAAGGTATTTTTGGGAATTTGAAAAAAAATAGGATGTACAATACGCTTTCCAATTGGGATTTCAGATGCTGGTTCTTATCTCAACAGTTGATAGATTTGGATATGGAAGTAACAATTTTTGTAGAACCAGTTATAGGAAGAAAAGTCTGCTAATGCAGAGCTATGAAGCATGGACATGGAGAGGCCGGAGTGTTGGTGTTTAACACGTGTCGGATAACGACGCGCTGGACAAATGGTGGACACGTGTTGAAAGCACCACCTGATGTGCGCCCCCCCCCCCTCTTCCTTCGTTCATTCAAGCAGTCTTACCGCCGGATACATGGGGCCGACATGTTTCTCAAGAGAAAAAAGGAGAAATTACTAAGGGCATTTCCAATGCATGCCCTATTGTACCAAAATTTGGTGCAAACTTCCTCCAACCATTGCACCAAATTTTGGTGAAAATGGTGCAACATATGGTTCAACACTATTCATTACACCATTTTTTGCACCAAATGGTGTAATGTCCGTTTTGCCTTTATTTTTCATTTTTCAAAGATAATGGTTAAAGGTATTTGTGTCATTTTCGTTCTATAATGATAATGGTAATGGTAATGGTAATGATGATGATGATGATGATGATGATGATTTTATTATTTTTAATAATATAATCAATAATAATTAAAGTAATTGTTAATTTAACGTAAAGTTTAATTCATAAAGTTTACGTTTAAAGTTTATATTATTAAAGTTTATTATTTTTGCAAATTTAACGTAATTTTTTATCATAAATTAATAATATAATCAATTATTCTTGTCAATTTAACATAATATATAAAACATATGAATAATTTAGTAATCAATATATTTGTTAATTTAACGAAGTTATGATTTAGTAATTTATATAGTTCTAAAATAAATAAATAAATAAATAAATAAATAAATAATTTGTTTAAATAAATACATTGTCAAAAATCGAAAGAATGAATAAAATAATAAATTACTGTTCATTTGATATAAGTTTTGTTGTAATGGTTGGAGAAGAATTTTGGTTTGGTGTAAAATTTGGTGCAAAATGGTACAAATTTTAGTGCAGCTTGAAGATGGCCTAAGAATGTAAGATGAGCTAAGCTCGATCAATGAATAAAATGCGAGTAGGGGGAGAGGGAGTGACAGATCTGGGACATGCGAGAGTAGGCAGAAGTGGAGGAGAAGAGGCTGATGGATGATTCTAGAAAAATTGGTTCTTTTGTTTTGATGTCTGTTTTCTTTTTAGGTTAAAGAGGTAATATGTGCTTTTATTCTTTTTGAGTCATAAGGGAAAGTGGTCAGAAAAACAGACTTTTATTAGCCAGATTGAGACCTGTGGGAAGATAACTTTATTTGCAAAAAGGGACATGCAATTTTAAGTTTAATTGCAAAAAAAAACCCATGCAATTATGAAAGATTATAAAAGAATAAAAAAGTGTCCCTACACTATAAAAAATTAGAAGTTAGTATTTCAAAATGTTTAAATATTATTTTAATTGGTGTGTCCGACGTGTCATTTCCTACTTTTGAAATTTGCTAGTCAGCATGTACATGTCTTTGTTTCTTTACATATAAGGTTAAAGAGGTAATATGTGCTTTTATTCTTTTTGAGTCATAAGGGAAAGTGGTCAGAAAAACAGACTTTTATTAGCCAGATTGAGACCTGTGGGAAGATAACTTTATTTGCAAAAGGGACATGCAATTTTAAGTTTAATTGCAAAAAAAAACCCATGCAATTATGAAAGATTATAAAAGAATAAAAAAGTGTCCCTACACTATAAAAAATTAGAAGTTAGTATTTCAAAATGTTTAAATATTATTTTAATTGGTGTGTCCGACGTGTCATTTCCTACTTTTGAAATTTGCTAGTCAGCATGTACATGTCTTTGTTTCTTTACATATGGATATTAGCTGATCTTCGCATATAAATATCCTCACCCTACATTATCTGAATTTGCACTTTGTGCAAGCCTTTAAAATATTTAGAACTGAATAGAAAAGGACCGAGGAAGAAGCTAACACTTGAACTGAGTTGATGCCTTGTAGTCCCGTTTCCACGAGCTTAGGTAATCACAACTTTGTCAAAGTCATGGGGTGTTTATATCTCTACAAATGAAAGAGACTGCTGGATAAAGACAGCTCGTCTGAAAACAAGTTACCTGCAAAATTGGTCACCGAGAGCTCTTGCAGTTACTGCTGTTCAAATAAAACTGAAACAATAATCATAGCAAGCACATGGAGATTGGAGTTGGTTGTGCTTGCTTCTCCTAAAGACCAAATTTCATATCAGTACGGGATCTCACACTGCTATTTGGATAAACTCACTTATTGTTCATCAGGAAAATTGCAATCAAATCTAGATATACTAATTAATTTAGAGAAAGGGAGGTGGAAAGGATCAAATTGCTTTCTAAAACCACAATCTGATGTGGAATGGATAAACGTTTAAGTTGGCAATTAAGCCTCCATTTGGGAAGAAATTTTAAATGGTTCAATTTATAAATAGGTAGAAATGAGTGGTTGATAAGTGAATAGTACTTGTTCCATTTGGGAAGAATTTTTAAATGGTTCAGTTTAACTTTCTACAAAGGGCAGTTCCAATTTCCAGGTCACTGTAAAAAGATTAGGTTCATGAAAAATATATCATCCCAAAATATTTATTAGTAGGCTCCTGGAGGTTGACTTTCATATAAGAAGTGTGGAATTCCTTGCAGATTGTTAGCTGAAATTTGCAGTTGTCGCAAGAAACTGTGCATTTTGAAGCCCTACATTTGTTTATTCATATTAAGTTGTGCCACTCTGTTTCATTTACTTAGGATTTCCATTATGGCTCTTAAACCTGATGAAAGTTTTTTATGTCTTTTGTAATTGGTGAAGAGTCAATCTGGCCCAATAGAACCTGCAGGTGGTAATAGTAGTCATCCAGTAAATCGCTCTGACATTGGTGGGATATCTGAGCTTGAGCAACTGTTAAAGCAGAAGACATTCACCAGGTAAGGCTGTGGAAAAATGTCACCAGTCATGAACAGGTTGTTTGCATGTGTACATGCACGATGTCTATTTTGAGAGCTGAATGCTCTAGACAGCTGAAGTTTTTCCAGGGTTCTCTTTAATATAATAGTTGTGACCCTTTTCCCAGGTCATGTTCAAAATCTCAAATCTGGAGCAACTGAGCTTAGCCTTGAGGCTTAAGCCTCTGAATATCGATTTGCAAGTCTTCAAGGCATTGGATTTGAGGTTTTTAAACCTAGAGTGGTGTATGCCTCAGTTAACTTTTTAAGAGCCTGTTTTGGATTAAAATCCGATTAAACTCTCAATTGAAAGTCAACATTAAATTTTAACTACATATTTCATGGGACCCACAACTTTTGAATCACACATTTCAAAAACTTGTATGAAAAATATAATTTTAATCCCATCAAACACTCTATAAATCACTAGGTGAAATATCTTTCAATATGTGTAACTTTTCCTTTTAAGATTTTGAGTTGACATGTTTACAGGTTATCTCCAATTCCCTTTTTTTTTTTTTTTTTTTAATAGGGAATCCTCCTTTTGCTATATGTTACTTGTGAAATCTTATAATGAATTCCTCGCTTGGATATTTTGATGTACAAGTCAGTGTGAATGTATAAACTAAGTATACCATCTTTAGGTCCTGAAGTTTGCATTTCTGTTGAGCTTGAGTTATCAAAGTGAAGCTAAATTGATGCAGATCTGAGATTGAACGCCTCACGGAACTTTTACATTCACGAGCTGAAGAGGTGCCGGTTGGCGAAAGAACTCAAGAAGCATTACCAGAGCTAGCATCCAGTTTAGGAAGGCATCGACAGTTCTCGAGTAGTCCATTGGAAGAAGATAGAAATGAGAGGGATAGATATCATGGAGTCAATACTACTATAGCCAATTCGAGAGTACGATAGTGTACTTATTTTACATGCACAATACTTGTATCATTTGTTAATTTGTATGCAATATTTTGTAGTATCTGCATTAATATAAGGTACCAGCAGTTTTCATTGATATTTATTTGGAAGAAATATTTCCAGGTCCTTGAGGATGATATTGCTTCTCCAGCTGAACTTGCAAAAGCTTACATGGGCAGTGGGCCTTCAAAGATATCACCATCAAAGTTGGTGATGCGCAGTCAAATTGGTAGGGAAGATGCTAGATTGCTTGGCAATGTTCCATTTACTCCAAAATCACCTGTCATGTATTCGACAACCAAAGTTGCTGTTAACATTGGGGTTCCAGAGAATAGTATTATAACTCCAAGATCTCGAGGCAGATCAGCAATTTACAACATGGCTCGTACTCCTTATCCCAGAGTTAATCCAACAGCCATTCTCAAGGTTCTATCATGTTACTAATTATATGTGTAGTAAATGCATGCATATTCTGCAGTTCAAAATATACCATATTAATGGATGCACATGCTCTACATGTTGGTTAATTTTCAGGGAAATGGATCCACTAATGTTTATGGGGGATCCTCACTTTCAACATCTCGGTCTCTACTGGAGAATGATTTGTCTAAACAAGTGGTATATATCAGTGGTTTGTAATATTTTTAACTTTTAAAGTTTAGATAATTACTTTTTTTAGTTATCTTCAACCTTCTCAGAATTTTCTTTGCATTTCAGAGCTTAAAACGAAGGAGTTCAATATTTGATGATGATCTTGGAGAAGGCGGTCTCATGCGGAGAATCCGACAAAAACCTAATCTCTTGTCTCCTAGAATTCCTCGTTCAGCCGGTGGAGCGGTAATAGATTTTGATGGTGTTCGAGGATCTTCGAAGCAGAAGCTTCCATTAGTGGATGAACCAAAGCATAAGCTTTCAATAACTGTTCGAAAGAATGAGAATGACAGCATTCCAAGCACAAGTTATGCTCATGTTCCTCCTAAGTCCACTGAGGTGGCCTCAAGAATATTGCAGCATCTTGAAAAGCTAAGCCCGAAGGAAAAATCATCGGATCCTCAACTAGTTGCCTTGTGGGAGAAAACACCCAATAAATTGACACCAAATATGCTTCATGGACAAGCTCTGAGGAGCCTGGAGCACGTGGAATCCTCAAAGTTGCTGCAAGATGTCCATGATGACCATAAGTTGGAGGATTGGCCCATTGTTACTTTACATGATGCACATGACTTCTCTTCTCAAACGAAAGGCAGAGTAGAACCAAGAGGACCAAAAGATTTTGCTATCCCTCTTGATAAGTCGACTCTTGCAACGAACAATGATACCACAGGATCATTGAAAGCTTCTGTGCCCAGTGTTGAAGCATTTGATTCTGTTAATAAAAATTTTGCAGCTCAACCTCCTAAAGGAAACAAGCGTTTAGGATGAGTGCACAAGAAGTAAGTGTTATTTAATTGAGTTATGTACAGTAAATACTCCAATCAGTTGTATACTGAATAAATTTGATTTGCTGTTTTTATTGGGTTTAAATTTAGAGATTATAGCAATCCAGTTTCTCTTTGTAAAACATAGTTTAAATTTGTGTGTTTTGAGGATTTATGTGTAGTTGGTTGTGATCGATTGTGCTTATTTCCTTTGTCCTTTGAAAATTGACGACTTGCCTTTGTGAAAATCTAGATGTCCTATTTATATCATTTTCTTTATTTCTGTTTTAATTTCTGTTACTGTTTTTTTACAGGATTCCTTTGCGCTGGATGATGACATAAATTGCAATGGGGTTGGTCCTAAACTATTTTCTGAAGAAAGAGTGACTATGGAAACCTCTCTTAGCAAGCCCTCACCTACTGAAGAACTAAAGCTGGATCAAACTATATCTCTGTCAGAAGAGAAGTCAGTTCTGGATCCTATATCAAGCAAAAGAAGTGACATGGGAAGTGATGGCTCTGCTTTTTCTTCTTTACATGATACCAGCACAGCTTCAGAATCAGTGGTGCTCACTCAACTAGTCTCTGCAACTGACAAACAAAAGGAGGCTAATGATTTGCATCCCTTGTTTAGTTTTAGCTCCAAAACTGTTAATGAGGGTCCATCACCTGCATTTTCATCCTCAACTCCTGGCTTATCAAGCAAAAGACCATTTACTTTGTCAGAATCTAAACCAGAAAACTCCTCTAGGTAAGTCACTGCCTGTCAAATATGTAGCTGACAATTGCTATTGAGTTCCAACCTTTGTTTTGAAAAGGGTTTACTCCTTGAGGCAAGCCTCACACAAGGTTTTTTTGAAGCGCATCAAAGTATATGCCTTAGTACAATTTGCAGAGGGCTTATGCCTGGGTTTACCAAGGTGCACACCTCAAGTCATCCTTGAGGAGGCTGATGTCTGCGCTCTATTATTTTGTCCTTTTTGTCGCGAGCTTCAGCCTTTTGGACTCCTTTTTCATTTTTTAGAACATTTTAAGGGTTTTTTTGGGGCTATCTTAAACTCAACCATAACATTTAGAAAAATGGAATTGTAGAAGATAGCAAGCGAAGCAAGCATGCCTAAACTTCCTACAACTGAAGTGCTATAACCTTTCAGCCAAGTGAAGATGCTACTTTTCTGTGGCAGATGGTTGGTGATGAGACCTACGACACATAATTTCATTCTTTTCGTTCTACATTTCTCTTGTTTTTTTATGTTTTTGTTTCAGTTTCTTCTGTTTCAATTTTTCTTTTCCTTTATAAGGGGAAGACTAGGGAACTGTTGGAAGTGGAGGATGAGGAAAAAGATTTATGCAGCATTATTCAAGTCTTTTTCATACTACTTTTGTTGGTTGATATGTCAGATGAATGCATTATGAGGCTTGTGCTTCTGGGTTACAGTAATAGTTAATTTTAGGGTCCTGTTTGTCACGGACTTGCTAATTTCCTTCAAGAACCGTGCGGCCTTAGTGTCTTTTAACTTCCGCCCCCGCGGTTATTACACTAAGTCAGCCTCCCGATTGGCGTTGATGTTTTAGAAAGGGACTAAGTAGAACACTTTAAGAAAGGGACAAGGAAGGAACACAAGAGCTTACAAAGAATGCTTTGTATTGAAATAAGGAATGCTCTTTACAACTTCACTCTCTTGTTGATGCCTACAAATGAATCCTATCAAGCTATTTATAGTGGTAGCCTCCTCAAATGGATGGCTAGGATCTTTTCTATCCGACGGTCTAGATTACACTTCTAGAATTATCTATACAAATATCTACATCAAAAATATCTATGGACTATCCTAGGATGATCTAGAATAATCTACCAAGTGAGGGGCTTGTAGTTTTCTAGAATGTCCCACCATATTCTAGCAAGCTTCATGCACTTGTGGGAGTCTAGAATATTCCGGTTAGCCCCAACTCGTCAACATTTTAAGTTTCTCGATCTTCTTGCGCCAAGATCGAGCGGGTTGTGACATCCTCCCCTGCCTATTTGGGCGACGCCCTCGTCGCCGCGTAATGCTTTAGTTGGTCTTCGAACTGCCACAAGTCTTCTTGACTTTCCCATGTTGCTTCGGACTCGGGCAATCCCTTCCACTTTATCAAAAATTGTTGGCAAGGAGGCACTCCACGCCTTCGAACAATGCGATCTGCTAGGACCTCATCAACCTCCTTGTCAAATGACTTAGTCACAATCGGAGGTGCCCGTTGTGACTCCCCTCGGCTAGAGTCTTCCATGTCTTCATGATATGGCTTCAACATGCTCACATGGAAGACGGGATGAATCTTTAAAGTGCTAGGTAGGTCAAGGCGATAAGATACCTTGCCAACCTTAGCTATCACCGGGAACGGCCCTTCATATCTCCGTACCAAGCCTTTGTGCACACTTCGGTACGCCTTGAATTGTTGAGGTAATATTTTCACAAGGACTTGGTCACCAACTTTAAATTCCAAAGGCCGTCTCTTCTTATCGGCCCACTTCTTCATGCGCCTCCGTGCTTTGTTTAAACAAGATCGTGCTAAGTCGGCATGCTCTTCCCATGACTTAGCCATCTTGTATGCACCGGGGCTTTTCCCTCCATCACTAGAAGTGGACAAAGTGTGGGGTGTTAGTGGTTGTTGTCCTGTCGCCAACTCGAATGGACTCCTCCCCGTGGCTTCACTCCTTTGTAAATTATAGGAAAATTGTGCAACATCCAGGAGCTTGGCCCAATCTCTCTGATTGGCACTTACAAAGTGCCGGAGATAGCACTCCAACAAAGCATTCACCCTTTCTGTTTGTCCATCCGTCTGAGGGTGAAAGCTTGTAGAGAAGTGTAGGTCTGAGCCTAGGAGTTTGAACAACTCCGTCCATAGCCGACCCGTGAATCGGGGATCACGATCACTTATTATGCTCCGCGGTAACCCCCAATACTTCACAACATTCTTGAAGAATAGCCTTGCGGCTTCCTCCGCGGTGCAATCCTTGGTGACAGGAATGAAGGTGCCATACTTGGAGAATCGATCAACCACTACCATTATTGACCCGAACCCTTCGGATTTAGGCAGGGCACTAATGAAGTCCATGGTGATAGAGTCCCATGGACGCTCCGGGACTGGTAGAGGCTCCAACAAACCTGCTGGTGACCTTGTTTCCACCTTGTCTTGTTGGCACACAAGACAAGTCTTTACATAGAGCTCCACCATGTCTTTCATTTGCGGCCAATAGTAAGCTCGTTCAAGTAGTGCCAAGGTGCGTTTCTGCCCTGGATGACCAGCCCAGCCTTCCCGAATCAAATCAAGCAACGTCCCTTTGGCTTGGCTTATGGCTGCAAGCTCCGCCTTCCTGCTTAATGCATCGGCTACGACATTCGCCTTCCCCGGCTTGTATTCCATCACATAGTCAAACTCCGCTAAGAAATCTTGCCAACGCGCTTGCTTGGGAGTCAGCTTCTTTTGTGATTGGAAATAGCTAGTAGCGACATTATCCGTCTTGATGATGAATTTTGATCCCAACAAGTAATGACGCCACACTCGTAGGCAATGAACAATAGCCGTCATTTCCTTTTCTTGCACCGTATACCGACGCTCAGTGTCGTTGAGCTTGCGACTTTCAAAAGCAATAGGATGCCTTTCTTGCATTAGCACACCCCCGATAGCAAAGTCTGAGGCATCCGTTTGTACTTCAAAGGTCTTGGTGAAATCTGGCAATGCCAAGACCGGTTCCTCCATCACGGCCGCCTTCAGATCGTCAAAGGCCGTTTTACATTTCTCGGACCAATCCCATGTCTTATTCTTCTTCAATAGGTCCGTTAGTGGGGCTGCCCTCGCTGAGTAGCCTTGGATGAACCGCCGATAATAATTAACTAGACCAAGGAAAGAACGAAGTTCGGTTACCTTGGTTGGTGCTTCCCACTCCTTGATTGCTTTTACTTTTGCCTCGTCCATCTTCAAGCGCCCGTGGCCAATGATATGTCCAAGGAAGTGCACCTCCTCCTTGGCAAAGGAACATTTTTCCTTTTTAATGTATAGTTCATTCTCCCGCAATGCTTGGAACACCGTTCGGAGATGTTTTGCGTGATCCTCCAAGTTGTCGCTATAGATGACAATGTCATCCAAGTACACTACCACGAACTTGTCCAAGTAAGGTTGGAAAATCCTATTCATCAATGTGCAAAATGTGGCCGGGGCGTTGGTTAAGCCAAAAGACATTACCAACCATTCGAATGAGCCATATCGAGTGATGCATGCTGTCTTAGGCTCATCCCCTTCTGCAATCCGTACTTGGTAGTATCCCTTTTGTAGATCCACCTTTGTGTAATACTTTGCACTACCAAGTCTATCAAATAAATCGGCAATCAAAGGAATAGGATACTTGTTTTTAATTGTTACCTTGTTGAGCGCCCGGTAATCTACACACATGCGTAACGATCCATCATGCTTCTTTTGGAACAAGACCGGGGCGCTATAAGGTGCCTTCGAAGGTCGTATTCTCCCCGTGTCAAGCAACTCCGTCAATTGCCTTCGAAGTTCTTCCAGCTCCGGCGGTGCCATCCGATAGGGTGCCATGGATGGTGGTTTGGCACCTGATTCCAACTCGATCTTATGATCCACCTCCCTCCTAGGTGGTAATTTCTTGGGTAACTCTGGCGGCATCACGTCCTTATTTTCTTCAAGGACATTCTTGATGACTTCGGGCACATTATCGTCACCCGCAACTTCCTCAACTTGGTCCTCCATTTTTAATGCTGCCAAGTACGTCGCCTCTCCTTTCTTTAGCCCTTTTGCTAGTTGCATGGCCGAAAGCTGCCCTATTGCTTTCGTCCTAGCTACCGTAGGAACCATGCATGGAGAACCCCTCTCCAAGATGCAGACCGAGCCAAAGGAAGGCATAGGAATAGCATTGACCTTCCTCATAAAGTCCAACCCGAGAACCAAGCGAAAATCATCCATTGGAGCCACCGAAAAATCCACTTGGCCATGCCAAGTGCCTAATTGAATTTCCACCCCTCGAACTATGCCACCAAGGGGCGTGGATGGAGAATTTACGGCTTTCATAAGACCACCACTTTTAGTGATTGTGAGGCCCAACCTTCTAGCCTCATCTTCAGTAATGAAGTTGTTGGTAGCTCCCGTATCTACCATTGCTAGTGCGGGCCGACTATTTACTTGAGCTTCCACATACATCAATCCTCGTTCATTATTGGAAGCCGGAACGACCTTAGCATTGAGAGCGCTAAGAAGTTGCAATGAACTAAAATGTTCCGCCCTTTGCTCTTGGCAAGAGGATGAAACCCGTTCCTCCGCCATAGCTGCCAACGTGCCAATTTTAGGGCAATCACGCATTAAGTGTGGCCCCTTGCACACGAAGCATCCACTTTGAGAACCCATTGAGGCCTTCTTCTTTTCCTCATAATTTTTTTCGCGAGAGGGAAGGTTTGTGAGTGTTACCACCTTTGAAGAATGAGGACTTGTGGTAATCTTTCTTCTCTCCCCCGCCTTTAGCCGAGTTACTCTTAAAGCTTTTAGAAGATTTCGATGAATCCGTGCTCCTTTGGAACTCGGTTAAAGATTCGGCCACCACAATAGCCTCGTCTACTGTCTTCACTCCCCGACGTTGAAGTTCTTGCTTCGCCCAATTTTGCAATCCGTCGGTAAAGTGAAACAATAGATCTTCATCTGACATGCTCGGGATTTGAAGCACAAGGGTAGTAAACTCTTTGACATAATCGCGAATAGTGCCCTTATGTTTCAACTCCCTAAGCTTTTTACGGGCCTCATATACTACATTTTCAGGATAAAATTGGCGTTTCAATTCTTTCTTGAAATCGTCCCAACTATCTATCCTACAAGCACCCTTTTCTATGTCGGCGTGCTTACGTCGCCACCATAGAGCCGCGGTGTCCGTAAGATACATAGTCGAAGTACGTACCTTAATAGCTTCATCCAAAATGTTCACGCCCTCAAAGTATATTTCCAATCGCCATAGGAAATCATCCAGCTCTTTTGCATCTCGCCTTCCATCGAACTCCCTAGGCTTTGGATAGTCGATCCTTGGAGCCGCTAGCATCGCGCTAGTACCCGCACTAGTTGACGCCTTCTTACAAGCGTCTAGGCCACTTTGCATATCCGCGCAAAGCTTGTTCACTTGGTCTTGGATTGCTTTGACAGCATCCATGACCTTAGCCTCCAGCCTCGTATATTCTTCCCTTAAAGCGCCTTGGTCTTCCTTGAGATCATCAAGTTGTTCCAAGGTGTGAGCTTCAAGGGTTGAGAGTGAATTCTCCACTACTTCAATGCGTTCCCCCATATTAAGAAATACCTCCTCAAGAGATCCACCGGTAGGGGCTGGTGGTCGGCTCTTACTTCGAGTGTGTCGAGTTTTCTTACTCGTGGTTTGGGGTTCGACCTCTCGACCCCGCTCGTCATGTTCTACTTCCGAAATGCCGGATCCCACAACATCTTTTTCCGCCATGCCAACGATAGTAAGTGAGCAAACCTAGGCTCTGATACCAACTGTCACGGATTTGCTAATTTCCTTCAAGAACCGTGCGGCCTTAGTGTCTTTTAACTTCCGCCCCCGCGGTTTTACACTAAGTCAGCCTCCCGATTGACGTTGATGTCTTAGAAAGGCACTAAGTAGAACACTTTAAGAAAGGGACAAAGAAGGAACACAAGAGCTTACAAAGAATGCTTTGTATTGAAATAAGGAATGCTCTTTACAACTTCACTCTCTTGATCCTTCAAATGAATCCTACCAAGCTATTTATAGTGGTAGCCTCCTCAAATGGATGGCTAGGATCTTTTCTATCCATCTTTGCCATCTTCCAGTATCACTAACAATACATCATTTGCATCTTCATCGGCCAATTCCCAAGTGCCCAGTACAAAAATTAATTTTAGTTTCAGTTCTGCCGCTTCCTCATCTGAAAGCAATGCAGCTGGCCTTGGCAGCGGGCCAACAGCCAGTGTTTTCAATTTCGGTGTGAGTTCTGCTGCTGCTTCAGATGTTGGCGCCATTAGCTCCAACAGCGGTTCCACTCTCGGACTATATAGTTTTGGTCTCAGTTCTTCCTCTTCCTCAGCCAATGTAGTTGGCTCTACCAGTGGTGCCACTCCTAGTATATTCAGCTTTGGTAGCAGTTCTGCAGCTTCAACATCGGGAATCAATGCTGCTAGCTCCTTCAGCAGTGGTACTTCTGGTATATTCAGTTTTGGTGCAAGTTCATCGGCTTCCTCTTCAGCTACCAAGTCGGTTAGCTCTAGCAATCCTACTACTAACTTATTTGGTTCGAGTTGGCAAATTCCCAAGTCTCCTATTCTTGGTTCAACTTTGACTTCTCCGTCTCCATCCACTGGATTTGCCTTCAGTGCGTCATTGTCTTCCTTTGCAGCTACAAGCACTGCACCAGTGGTATTTAATTCGTCTACTGGGGCCTCACCAGTCCCCATTTTCTCATTTAGTACAGCCTCTGCTGCAACCTTATCTTCGCCATCTCTTTCTCATACGCAGCCAGTATTTGGTAATCCTCCTGCTTTTGCTGCCTCGGCTGGTAATGATCAGATGAATGCAGAAGACAGTATGGCCGAGGATACCATGCAGTCATCTGCACCTTCTGTTCCTTTATTTGGTCAACCAACCATCTCACCTTCTCCCCCTGGCTTCATGTTTGGGTCTACAGTGCCATCGCAACCTAATCCCTTTCAATTTGCTGGCCAGCAAAATCAAGTTGCTCCACAGAACCATTCTCCATTTCAGGCATCAGCCAGTTTAGAATTCAATGCGAGCGGGAGCTTCTCATTGGGCAGTGGTGGTGGTGGTGGTGACAAGTCAGGTCGAAAATATGTGAAAGCTAACAGAAGTAAGAACCGGAAGAAGTGAAGGCGGTGAATGATGTAGCTGGTGTATCCCTCATTGATGCCATTAATCATGGATTTGCCCCATTTGGTTGAGATATTATGCGATAACTGATCTTTCGAGTCTCATCTTTGCAACCATGGATGTATTGGTCTCTCTTAACACTAAAAGGCTGGTGATTCTATTTATATCTTTTCTAATTTCGACCCTTTTCTTAAGCAAATCTTCTGTAGGCACAGTCTCATCAATTTTTGGACTGTATTAAGAACAATTGCTTGGCACGAGGGGGCTACGTTGGGTCAGGGGATTGCGTTAATGACTGTGCTTGTGTTTTTCTACATAACAAAGGAAATATTCATAAATCTTTCCGAGGAAGTGTGTTGTGTCAAAAGTTCCATTTCAGTAGCTTAGACGTTGTCCTCATCTGCAGTTTGTCAACCTTGCAGCTTTTGTATACCAGTCGTCCAGTCGATCGGGGGATCTTTCGTGTTGTAAATGTACGGTTTGCAGACCTGCTCGCTATTGCAGGTCATTCTTTAGATTAGATGTCCAGTTTTTGTCTATGTTGGACTCAATTTTGTAGTGCTTTTCAGATCAATGCGTACTAAGAATGAGTAATTATTTTTGCTTTCTTATTTCTCAGAGATGTACAGGAATACGAGAGATGCAGCACAATTCTTTAGTATCGATCATTTTGGGATTATAAAAGTTGTTATTACTCTTTTTATGAATGAAAGCTTTGAGCTTGGTTGATTAAGCTTAAAGAGTTTAGTATGTATTTTTTGGATACATGGTGAAATAACTGGGTTAATTTTGTGGAGCCGATAAGCCAATTGACGGTCTTGAAAAGTTGGAAGGATTTAATTAACGGAATCAATATTCATTCAGAAGTTAAAACGAAAAATTTTGATCTTGAAAAGTTGAAGGACAAATATGACATTGTTAAATAGTTTGAGGATGAAATTGAGGATATTGAAAAGTTTAAAGGATGAAATTGACATTATTAAGAAGTTGAAGGTTTGGATGAGATTGAGGATATTTAAAAGTTGAATGAAATTAACATTGTAAGAATTTGGATGATTAAAGTGTCGTTCTTGAATTGTTGAAGGATATATAGAACATTATTAAATAATTAAAGGATGAAATTCACATCATTAAGAAGTTGAAGGGTTGAATTGATGATCTAGAAAAATTGGATGGAATTTACGTAATTAAATAGTTTGAGGATAAGTTGAGGATATTGAAAAATTAAAGGATGGAATTAACATTATTAAGAAGTTGAAGGATTAAATTCAAAATCAGGAAAAGTTGAAGGATGAATCATTAATTAGTTTGAAGATGAAATTGAGGATATTTAAAGTTAAAGGGGTAAATTAACATTATTCCGAAGTTGAAGAACTAAATTATGATCATAAAAAGTTTAAGGATGGAAATAACGATAATAGTAAGTTGAAGGATGTATTTAACATTTTGAAGAAGATGAAGGATGAAATTGATGATTGTTTAAAGTTTGAGGATGTATAACATTATTAAGAAGTTGAAGGATTAAATTGTTGATTTAGAATAGTTTGAGGATTAAGTTGGAATTCATATCACTGAAAAGTCTACCTCAAATTATACAGATACATCAACTTGGTTCTGACTAATCAAATTCATAATTTCATACCCCAACTTTTAAAAAACATTAATCTCTTCCTCAAACTAAATAGAAGCATCAAATTCATCCTCAAATTAGACGGATACATCACTTTGGTCCTCTGACTAATCAGAATTATCAATTTCATACCTTAACCTTTCGAAAGCATTAATTTTTTTATCCAACTAAGCAGAAGCGTCAAATTCGTCGTCAATGTATACAGATTCATCAATTTTGTCTGAAATTTTATTATGATTGCTTCTTTTTCCATTAAACAAAGAAAAACCCAGAAGAGTAAATTAGGAATTTTTTCCATCTTAGAGAGAAATCTTAGACAAAGACTACGTATATCTTCTATTTTTCTCATTTTTCATCTCAAGAATTGCTATTCAATGGTCACTCAACTATGCTAAATGCTACTATTTAATAATTGAACTTAGAATTGTATTCTTCAAGTCAACTTCGTTTATTGAACCCAACTTATCTTTCCACGTGTCAAATATATTTCTTACGTGGATCGTATTAGACATCCACCCAAATCCACGTGAGCAAAGCATGCTTACAAAATGCAATTGAAGTTGCGATTTTCGACATCTTGTTCGGGAATAATGGGGCCTTTTTCCAGTGACAAGATGTTGAAAATGCGACTTGAATCACATTTTGCAAGAAAGCTTTGATTACGTGGATTTGGGAGGATGTTTAATACGGTCCATGTAAGAAATCCGTTTGATACGTGTGAAGACCCTTTAGGTTCAACAAATGGCATCGACTTGAGTGATAGAAAAATAAAATGAAGCATGATTATTGAGATACAATTTTAAGTATAATTATTAAGTAAATATTATTTGGTGTAGTTCAATGATTAATGAGGCACAAACCAAAAAGACCGAAAGATCGAACCTAAATTCTCTCATGCAGCAATCGAAATCTTATCCTAGCGCTCGCACACTCTCTTGTCCTCCCCCCACCCGCCTCCTTCCCACCCATTGCACGGTGGCAACTCCTCAAATCTATGGTGGTTGATGCTCTTTCTTTGTGGGTTCATTGATTTGTGAAGTCGCAAAGAAGTTAATTTTCTCGGCTCATTATAATTGTAAGTTTGGTTCATACTTCTAAATGTTGGAGGGAGAAAATGAGAGGTTGATGCTAATTCAATTTTTGTCATTGGGGCCTATGTGATTGTTAATTTGGGAAGTTGAGATCTGTTGTTCAAAATATACTATCCACCAATGAATGATTGACACATCATTTTAAATTAAAGTGTTTATCTAATTTTAAGTACAAGTGACCATAAGAGAAAAGTTTGATCTGTTAATTTAAAATGATGTGTCAATCACTCATTAGATGGACAACAAATTTTGGACAGTATATTTCAGTTCTAATTGGGGAGGTTGCTGTGTTTTCAATCACTGAATGGATGATTATAGCATTTTGGAGATTGTGACGGTGCCCAAATTGAATAAACCAAAATAAGCCCATGTTTTGTCGATCATTATTCAACGAAAATGAGTTTTGGAGTAGTATATTTTTTAATAATGAGTAATTAAGTAGGAAAAAATTCTGATTTATGTACAAAATATTTTATTGTGAGAATGAATAGTTAAAAATGAGTTCGAGATTAAAAAAGAACTTTGAAATAATAGTAGACAAATAGGATTAACTCAAGCTGAGACAATTTGATTTGACAGACGATTTTGATCGTGATTGTTTGGAGTTTTACCAAACTATGGTAGATATTGATTTCAAATTATATTCAAAATTGATCCCATTCGATCCAGACCCACCCTTAATTGAAGTGTGTATACAAATATCCGTTTAAAATATCCTATTTTATTATTAGTGCTTTGCTTAGTGAAATAGCGTGACCTACAATTACATTTAGGACATATTTGATTGGTTAATTTTTTTTTTCATGGAAAATGAAATTTATCTTGTATTTTCCAACTTTTAGTTGTTGATATGGTTTAGTTTTCACTGAAATTTAGATTCTTGGTTTTATTGGGAAGTGCAATTTTCTTGCTTTTGTGGGATATGGTGGGAATTGATTTTCTCGATTATTGTTCACGTTTCTTTTTTAATTATTTTTGCAATGGAAACAAATTTTAAGAATTATTGTAAAAAAATATTTTCCTTTAATTGATAATTTTTTCTATAAAACAAAGCCAAACGAACACCAAAAGATAGCTGATTTTCTTGAATTTTTTTTTTTGTTGGTAATGGAAACAAATTTCATTCTCAATACCAATAAAATTTCTCTCTTTAATTGAGAATTTTCATGTAAAACAAAGCCAAACGAATACTAAAAAATATTTTTATTTCCACATTTTCCACGTGAAAAAGTATACCAATTAAACACAGTAATTTATAATTCTTAAAAAAATAATTTCTAAACAATTCAATTTCTTAGAATTCGTTTTCAATTCAATTCAATTTCATCTTTAAAATCAAACTACCCTTATTTCTTTTTAAAATCGTGCGGCGATCGGATCTACTGGCGATGCAAATTGAGTCCAACATAGAGGAAATTGGACTAAACGACAGTGGTTGGTTGCGACTTGTGAGACGGCAAACATAGGATCCGACCACGTTCACCATCCTGTCCCTGTCCGTGTCTTTTAATTAAAACATTAATTTAATTTAAATTTTAACAAAGTAAAAGGTTCATTTGTCATCGTATATCTCTCTCTCTCTCTCACAGCAGTTTCGTTTCGTTTCGTTTCGATTCATCTCCCTCCTCTCACTTGGCCACCCCATTTCTTCTTTCAATCTGATTTCAATTTTGATTTCGATTAACAGTATTTTGGGTTTAGGGATAGGGTGGCTATGTTTAACACACCATTTGTTTTGTCATTTGCTCTTTTGCTTTCATTACCTCTTCTTTTCTTCTTTGCACCCAGATTTCTACCCCCTAAACATGCCCAAATCTCCCTCCCCGACGAGCTTGACGATCTCGCCCTCTTCCGCCGCGCCACACTTGCTTCCATCCGCCCTGGCGGCTCCGCTGTATCCCGTTTAGGAACCACCAAGTCCAAACCCAAAATTGCCTTCTTGTTCCTTACAAATTCAGATATCCATTTTGCCCCGATTTGGCAGCTCTTCTTCAACAACCACCTAGGACTTTACAATATCTATATCCACGCTGATCCCTCCTCCAAAATTACTCCTCCTGGTGGGGTATTTGAAGGTCGTTTCATCGCCGCGAAACGCACTCAACGCGCCACCCCTACTCTCATATCCGCCGAACGCCGCCTCCTCGCCACCGCCCTCCTTGACGACTCTTTAAATTCCTACTTCGCCCTCGTCTCCCCGAGCTGCATCCCGCTCCACTCATTCCAATTTATGTATAATTCTCTATTTATCAAACCCATCACTGAGTCCACGTCATCATCGTCCCAAATTTCTACCCCTTTGTACCGCAGCTTCATCGAAATATTACACGACGATCCATATTTAAAGGATAGATACATCTCCAGGGGCAAAGACGTAATGCTACCGGAGGTACCTTTCAACCGGTTCCGGGTCGGATCTCAGTTCTTCGTCCTGACCCGGCAACACGCATTGGTCGTAATCAAGGACAGGAGGCTGTGGCGGAAGTTTAGGCTGCCATGTCACAATCTAGATTCTTGTTACCCGGAAGAGCATTACTTCCCGACACTTTTGTCAATGGAGGATCCACATGGGTGCACCCATTACACTCTCACTCGGGTCAATTGGACCGGAAGCACGGACGGTCACCCATATACTTATGGACCCGCTGAGATTTCATCGAAACTTATTCGAGAGCTCCGGGTGTCGAATTCTAGTTATTCTTTCATGTTTGCAAGGAAATTTTCTCCGGATTGCTTGCAGCCATTGCTGGATATAGCAGAAAAGGTTATTTTCCGTGACTGAAACGAGTCGGGTAAGCATAATTTTCTTACATTTTGGAATATCCATTTCTCCTAAGTTTCGTCGACTGAGTTGACTCGGTGATTAATGCAAGGGATGAGCGACCTCGGGGATTTGTGATGTTAATAGTAAGGGTATTTTGGGTAATTCGGATTATGAACTGTTACAAAGCCATCTTAAATGTTGCCTCATAATGCGGTTTGACAATTGCTTCAGTTAATAGTAGTCGAGAAGCATTATATTATGTAACAGCAACTGGGGTCTATGTTTCGCGAATTTTTATCAATATATTTTGAGGGACCCACGATTCTTGAAAAATGCTACTCAACCACATTGTTTGACACAAGTGTTGACACACCTCTCACAATCTAGTTGTGAATCCCGTGCGAATAAAATAATGTCGAGCTCCCATGTGTGTGTGATGTGTCAATCCTTGTGTCAACCGATGTGGTCATGTAACACGGCCCACGATTCTTTTAGACCTTAGATGGTGGGCCGACGTGATGATCAACCTTGATGGACTGACCTGTGTACATTTTGAGATGTCCACGACTACCATAAGTATTATAGACCTTAGGTAGTAGGCCCATAAGTAATTTGAGAAACCCACTAGTACTATAAACTTTGGATAGAAGGTCATAATGTATTAGACAAAAACAAACTAGTTCTCAGTTGATGAATGTGTTTTGTTGATTTCTCAGGTTCAAATGTGGAATGGATCTCTTTAATGAAACTTGAAAGGTGAAAGGCTAAGTAGAAAGCCAAGCAAACATGTGGCGGTTCAACATGTACATAGAAAGCAATGTGAATAAAGCGATTCCCACTTGAGTATCAAATGGTGGCATGGGCTTAGAGTGGAGTCGAGGAAAAGAGCAATAAGGAAGCAAAGGCTCGTAGCTCATTTCCCTCGTTTTTCTTTTTGTTGAAGAAAATGAAAAGGAATCTTCCATTTGCTCATCTAGCTGAACTACTACTATGTTTTCTGTATATATCAATTTTAGTTTCCTTTTCTTCTTTCATACTTGTGCTCATGACTTGGATGAGAGATATAACTAACGTTCTACTGGAAGTTCAGGTAGTTCAAGGTCATTCTTAGATGTGTAGAATTCAACCTTAAACGCGTTTTCTAAAGAAAAATAAATCAGATAGTTATAACTCAAGGGTCGAGTTTAAGCTTAACTACATGGAAAGCATTTAGAGTCGATATAGTTATTATGGATATGCTAGCTTCCGACATACTAAACTAGACAAATTAATTGAAGATGTGAATAGCAATTCCAAGAGGAAGATTAAGCCAAGTGAAAAACTTTGGTACAAAGTTGGTGATGTCTACATGAAGTTATTTATTGCTCTCAAGCCATTCAAGAATGCCCTTTTCTGATTCAGAGAGGTCTGTCTTCTGCTTGAGAGATCCTTCTAATAACCCAAAATAATCCCTGTAGTTGCGCTTGTAATAACTATCCAGTCTCTGAGAAGAACATGGAAACAATAAATAGAAATGAATCAGAAAACTAATTTATTAGAGACATAAACGGAACAAGAAATAGAAAACTGCAGTGAGCCAAGAAATTAAGTTCACCTCCTTGTCATTTTTGGCCTTGTTTTCTTGTGATTTCTTCAGATACTCTGAGAACAAAAACCCAAACATCGTTAAGCTCTACATATCAACTATTATCTTATCCAAGTAATGAGAAAAGAAAAATAAGAGCACTGGACAGTTCAATCCAAAAAATTGTAGTTTCTCGTTTCTTCCTAATACTATTTAATTTTGTCAAATCGGCCTTAATAAACATGTCATGGAACAAGAAAGAAGCAGCTGAATGAAGAAGATAAACATACCATCAAGAAGCTGAGTTTTGGAGTCAGTGACCAGCGCAACAGCTGCTGTTTTAACAGTTGAAAGAAGAATCTCTCTCCTTCCTGTCTCTCTGACTCTTCTTGTTCTTTCTCTTGATTCTCTGCTGCCATATGCTTCTACTTTGAAGGAAATCAATGGTCTAAAACTAGCAGATATTGCCATGAATAATTTTGATTATATGTGGATGTTGTTTGTTTGCAAAGCCATTGCTTTACGAATAGATGTTGGAAAATGGCAAATTATTGTGTGGTCCATTTCTTTCATGCCATCCATTTACCACTCTTACATAAACTATTTTCTTTTTTCTATGTTAGGATCTTTCTATGCTCATTAAGCCCCTGTTTGTACCAAGTTCTTTAGAACTCATTTTTTCTCAAATTTATTTTCAACCACACATTCTCCCAATAAAATAAAATTTTCACGTAATCCATTTCTCTATACTTTTTGCAATAAAGCCATGAGTACAGGAAAATTTTAACAGAACTTGTATCGACACTGATGTGGCAAAACATGATTGGACTATTTTTTTCTTTTTTTCTCATCTTCCAAAGATGTCATGCCATGTGTTGTTTGTAAGATTTTTCTGTCAAAAAATTCTGTACTTGTAGCATTGTTCTACTTTTTAACCCCACGTTCTTCAAAAATATCACTTTGACAAAAGCTACATTAAACAGGTCCTAAGTAATATACTTTAAAGTGAAAATAAGTAAAATTGTTAGTAAGAAGAGAAAAATGGCATTAACCAAACATATTCAAAAAGTAATTAATTACTCTAAAGCATGCAACCTAAGAAGGGCCCAAAATGAAATCAGTTGACTTTGGGGTTAAGAGTGGAGAATTGCAAAAGGAATTAAAAAGCTTGCTTTTTGGAGGTCAAAAACACATTACTGACATTCGGAATATGATCAAAATAAGAGGAAGTACTAATGCACATATCCAAAGTGTCACGACTTCGATAAACATAGAGCCTTTATTTCCACTTATATTACCACAAATACAAATTAATTTGACAAACATGAGCATGATTTAAATCATAGCATAAGTCCATATCCCGGACAAATTTGTCATAGGAGAAAATGAGAGCAGACAATCCTACTCAACTCTCCATAACCTGTCTCAAAATTACAAATGAAATTGTGAGTATGTGACTTCAAACAAAGACGTCCGTATTAGCGGTGCAAATTTTTCCATGCTACCTCACAGTGACATAGAAAAGGAAAATGCTATTTGTACATCGAGGTTAACACTCCCCTCACATGAGGGGATGGGCCCCATGACAATAAAAAAAATTTTGGAATCTCCCAGGTGAGGGGAGTGTACACCGGAGTGTCAACCCCGAAGTACGTGTAGTAAAACTCTAATGTAATACAAGAATCTTAGGTGAGTTGATGGCCTTGCATATTTCCCCCAAATCGGCAGAAAAACAGTTCCTTGAACAAAAATCGACCTTTAATGTTCTACTCAAGATGTGGAGAGAAAGTTGTCAAAACTTCCTGATATACAGGCTTCTTGAAACCCACTGCCTGCAAAGAAATAGAAAAAGGTTAAATTTCAGTATTACAGGAAAAGACCAAAAAATTTATTTCAAAACATTTTTAAAGGTTAGATGAGAGGACTGACGACGTTGATTATTTCTTCTGGTGACAGCCATGATCATTCTCCGAATTCAGGCTTCTCAGACCCATCACCCAAAAGATTGATTTCTTCATCCTTTCCAGTGAATTTCAAAAGAAACGTGAAGTTTTGCACATTTCAAAGTCAGATATATCAGCTGAGATACAGTCAGAACAGAAAACAAAGCATCTTCTCATACGTGAATGTATATTAGTTGTGTATTTGTGTGAAGAGGTTGTATAGCAGATATTAAGTAATTAGTAATAATTAATTAAAATCAATATCTAAAACAAGAGAATATTGCAGTCCCATTGTTACTTATACGAGTATGTTGCAGTTAGAAAACATAACAGTAACGAGATTAAAAATTTCTGACCCTCTCCTAGGATTTCATTTACATACCCATTGTACGAAATTGTTAACTCTAATCATTAGTTGCTGAATTCACTATTCAAGTTTGTTTGGATACACTTTCAGATAACAGTAACCTTTGTTCTCTCACGCCCAGGAATGAGGGCTCTTTCTTGTATCATTAATGTTCCTTCTCTCATGCTTTAGCAAATTGCTNTAACCTTTGTTCTCTCACGCCCAGGAATGAGGGCTCTTTCTTGTATCATTAATGTTCCTTCTCTCATGCTTTAGCAAATTGCTCTCCCTCGAACACTAACCTAACATGTACCCATGTAGGGCCAATCAATCCATATTCACAAAGATTGTAGAATCAACAGGAATCTCTATGGAAAATTCTACTTGTACATAATTATTGCACATGATAGTATCCATAATGTGATGTGGCAATCATCTAAGATTTGAATTAAAGGTTGAATCCAGCGCCACGTGTAATTATGAACGCCATTATGTAGACAATCATGTACATGTAGCACTTTCCAATCTCTATTGATGTCCCTGTATAAATAGAGTTTTATCCCTGTCTCTCAATTAGTAGGTTTATCTGGTTTAGTATGGTAACAGCAAATGCGAGAACAGTATGTAACTTAATTGATGGTAGTGGGCCACTAGCACCAGAAGCCAATTTTCAGAATTTTGGGCTTTATAGATAGCTTTACAAATTATAAACTTATCTGTTAAGGCAATGGCTCATACTGCACAATATTTTCACAAAAGGGCAAAATCTACCTCACTTGAACTATCTACAAAGCTGCAGTTTCTATCAAGGATGTAAAATCAAAATATATCAAACGTCTATGAGGAAAAGAAGAAGCATATGTACTCACCATTTTTGTGCTTGACCTTTCCAGTCTGAACCCCATCGATGCCTAAGTTTTTCCCTGGCGTCTTGTGGATAATCATATGTTAACCAACATGGTACCTGCAGAAGGAATCCTCTGTAAGGGATAGCTCAGTAAAACACAATTGGAAAACCACGGTTACAAACAAAGGCTCTGGAAAGGAACCAGGCTCTAATGAAACAAAACAGAAAGCCATTCACACAGTTAATATCTAACTTAGCAAGCAAAAGCTGTCAATGGAAAATTTTGTCATTAAAATCGACGATTTACAATATTTGATAATAACAAATTCAGCAAGCAAAAGATCCAAATGGATTTCTCTTTCTGTCATCCATATCTAAAGCTATGACAAATACAAACCGTGCAATTGCTTTAAACTCTCATGTCACATAAATTCTTTTTGTAAACTATTTCCATCTGTTTCGATACCCCCAGTCAAGAACATATGAGAAAAAAATAATCATACTCTGTCCTAAAACCCCAATATGCAATTTGCTTAAACTTTCAGTCAAGTTTCTAAAAGAAATTGTTTATTAAAGTAACTTAAACTCAATAAACATGCTGATTTTGTATTTTCGAGAACTGGCAAAATAAAATGCACTGCCTAATAGATAAATCATGAATACAGTTTTGCATTGATGTGTTCTACAAATCAACATCTTTGATGCACAACAGTTTTGCAAGTCACACATGCTAATGTACAAAATTTGAGTCACACGTGCATGAACACAAGCATGAGTGACCGGAGGTTCTAATCTTTTGCATGTGTCACAACTATTACCCTCGCTAGCTAGTCATCTAGGTACATTATGGCATCATTATTTGTCCAGCAAAGCCAGTCATCTCCTTCACTCTCTACCTTCATTCATCCTTATCTCTTTCCCTTTCTCAGCCCGCATCACATCATCGACACGTTCCTCAGAATCTTACCACATGGCTTATTCCATTTCCCGACCCTCTTTTATTCGTGGCCCTGAAGGTCCATCGTCAATTAGTAATCCTACACCTCGACCGTCAGGGACGGAGCTAGAAAATAATTATAAAGAGGGCTAAAATTTCAAACTTCTAAATAAACTTATGTTGCAAGAGATCGAATTTAGGAGACTGCTCACCTTAGAAATATAAACCGATAGAAGCATGATAAACATAAGCACATGTAGGGCTGGGCAAATCTCCCGAACCGAACCCGAACCGAACTGAACCGAACCCGACGGTTCTTGTCAAATTAAATACCCAAACGGGTATCTGAATTGAGAACTGATGGGTACGGTTCGGTTCTCGGTTCTAGACCAAGAACCGAAAAATCGAATAAGAACCGAATCTTTCTAATTTTTTTTTATTTTGAGTAAATCAAATTATTTTAATTTTAATTTTTTTTAAAGAAATTAAACATTTTTAAATTCAAATTTTGACCTAATAATTTGTTTTATTTCTAATTTTTTAATTTTTGGCTCAATTACCCATTTTATTGTTTCATTTCTTAACTCAACAAAATACAATCCACTAAATAACCCTAAACACCTACACTAAAGCATATACCGTTGTCTAGACTCTCGCAGCCTCGCTAACATTCCAAAACCTATACAATCATCGGTCGATACTGTGACCTCTGATTGAAGCTATGATCTCCGTCGACCGAAATTTTGACCATAGCGATCATTTGAACAAGGTAGTCTACTAGTCTTTGACATTCCAAAACCATTAAATGTATCATTAGTTGTATTTATATAATGTTGTTATAAATGTTAAAAAATTTAATTATAGTACAAAACCGAACGGAACCGACCCGAACGGAACAGAACCCGAACGACTCCATAATTATATTTGGACCCGACGGTTCCATTTACTAGATACCTGAAAATTTTGGTTCAGTTCGGTTCTGAAGCGCTCACCCCTAAGCACATGTTATATATCATAAGCACATGTTATATATCCACCAATCAAAATTTTTTTTTTAAAAAATTACTTAATGAGTACTATTCTATAGAATTTTACAACCAGCTATATCAAACAACTGAAAGTTTTGACCAGTGCCATACCTGTGCTTCGCGGGGCTTGAGGCGAATTTCAAAATTTGGGCCCTAGGCCCTAAGTCGTAGCAAACAATCCCTTTTTAAAAAAAAATAAAATAAAAAATTAGAAGTTTACGGAATTAAATTTGTTAACTTAAATCGACAATAAAACAACAAATAAAATTTTCGGTGTTCCTTCCTTCTCTTCTCATTAAAGTATTTATTTGTTTATCCAATCTGACTTCGAATTAATGTCTCTACTCTTTCTCTCTCTCTCTCTCTAAATTTTTTTTTTTTGAGCTCCAGATGTAGATTTATGAGCCATAGTATTTGACTCAAGTCACTCGTCAGCTAACAATTACTGAAAAGTGAAAAAAGCAAAGGCAAAAAATAAGCTGTAGGGATCCCAAAGCAGTCCATAAATAATATCCCAGCAAAGGCCATAGAACAAAGGCAAAATGAAAATGATAAAATCTTTATTTTCTTAACTCTCAATTTCTATTTTTATTACTTGGGATTGGGACTAAACCTTGCCACCCCCCTTTTTTGGAATAACCTCACTATTAATCATTTCCATGTAAGAAATAAAAACCTTGGTGACTGCAACATCCTCTTCTTTAAGTGCCACTCCACCACTTTTCTGTGAACAAACAATATCTTGTGAAGTGACATCCTTAAAATTGTCAAGTTGCTCCTCGAGAATAGCATACTCATTACAAAACTGATATAAATCTCTCCGACGAATGAGAAGGATCAAGTCCCAGATTCCTTTAATTCTAGGTTTGGAGCTGTCTCAATAGTTTGGATTATTGTGTCACCTAACTTCCAATATTGTGAAGGATCATGTATATGAGATGCTATCTCTAGATAATTATTTGCTTTCAATAAGGCATCTACAACCAATAACTCGATTGCCTTTCGAACTAGCAAGTATCATTTCCTTTACTCTTTTTATAGCCTCAGATTCTATTTCAATATGATGCACATCCACAATATGATCCACCACGTCTACGGGCATTTGCTCATGAGACCATTCTGATCCCTTGTGAATCATAGGAAGAAACTCATGTTCAAACAAGTGGCTAAAAACTCCAAGGCCTACATCATGCAAAATTTCAGCAAGTTTTCCTTTGTCTTTATGGATTCAATCATAACCAAAGGCTCTGTCCAACTACACTCAAAACAAACATCCTTCTTCTCCCATTTATATTCAGCTAAAAGCAAAATTAAAATAAAATTAAAACCTTCTTGAAAACATTCGTAACTTTTTAAGCAATTGAATTGCTTGTATAAAATTAAGCCAGTGAGCCCTATTCAACTTTGAAATGAAATAAAAACCTTTCACACTCTCTTCTTCTGCTGCAGAGCTTTGCCATCAAAACAGTCCATTATTTTTTCTCCAAATTACATTCAAATATTTGATTAAAAGTTAGGAAAATAAAAAATGCCTTCAAAAGATTCAAATTTTCAAAATCGGAGAAAAAAGAGGAATTTCTAGATGAAGTTGAAGAATAGAGCATAACATCAGATTTTGGAAACCGCAAGAAGAAATCAGCCAATAACATTATAACAACAATTACACCCCAAAATCCCAAAATAAAGGAAAGAGAAAAAGAAAAAAAAAACTGAAATACTATATTATGTACAAGAAAGTGAAAGAAAGAAGAAAAATAAATTTAGATTTTAGACATCACCTAAACAAAAAGGAGCGGTGAATTAAGAGGTGGATTGTTGACAGTGAATTGGTGAGGATGGCCACCACATTAGCTCCGACCACCACCGTTGAACATGTAAGTTTTGCCGTTGATTTCTCTGAGTCTGAAAGTCTTTTCTTTTGAACGCATGGGCATAGTGGGTTTTTTCAAAAAAAAAAAAAATGTAAAAAGTGAAAAAATGGGGCCCCTAAAATTCTGGGCCTGAGGTGGAGGCCTCTTGGGCCTCCCATCAAGTTCGGCTCTGGTTTTGACCAAAAAAGGCAACCGAAATATATTATTGTACGCCACCGTTCTCAAAAGACTATTTCATGAGGATTTCAATCTTTCATACCAACACATTCCACGGTGAGTAAAGAATCCACCCAAAGTGAAAAAAATGACAAGGAATTTCGAGGGTAAAAATATTTGTATCTTCCATGTCCATGTGTTGATCAACTTCTATAATATACATATAATCTTATTATTTATATAGGAATAAATTCTTTTAACTATAAGATTAAATATAAAGTAAGTTTATTTTGATAGTAACATCTATTTCATTGTCAAAATAAATAAGTTTCTTTCTTAAAAGTATGAATAAATTGTTTATAAAAATATTTTTAGAACTAAAAATTTTAATTACTTTAAGCTTAGCCAATTACCTAGTGTCTCCTACTAATAAAATAAGTAATTTATTTTAGCTCTAATCAACACAATTTTATTTATTACAAATGTATAATTAAAATTAAAACGTGCATCAAAGAAAAATCTACTTTGGTAATAAATTGCTCACATTTCATTTCGAGAAAAATTCAAAAGTCAGGCATTGTGTATGAGCAATTTCATTTTCAAGGTTTAAGTTTAAAAATGCAAAACTCAAGTATTAACTAATTAATTAAAAGTATTTTATTAATTAAATATATTAAGGTCACAATTATACAATTAATAGTCACAGGTGCGTACTTATAGATCATAATGTGAAATATCATAAAATTAATTGGTCACAGATTATTTCATGGCCACAATCAAAAATTTTGATAGATCACGATTTATTTATTTGGTAACAAATAAAAAAATTTATATATCACAACTTATTTGTCAATTACAAATTTTCAAATTAATTGATTACAAATTATCGAATTTTTAGGCCACAATTATATATTTGGTCACAGATTAATCAAATAGTTGGTCACATACCACGACCACCATGTCCCTTGCAGCCACCACCACCAAACCACACCACTACCCATTTGCAAAAACACCAACGAGACCATCTAATGGGTTACCCACTCCACAAGCGAAAGCACAATCGTTGCCACCACGGCATCAAATCCAACATCATATCCTCCTTTACCAAACCACAATCACTAACAATACTACACCGGAAAATGCTATTTGTACACCAAGATTGACACTCCGATGTACACTCTTTTCACGTGAGGGGATGAGCCCCACGACAATAAAAAAATTGTGGGATCTCCCCATATGAGGGGAGTGTGAATTCCGGTGTACGTGTAGCAAAACTCATACTACACCACAACATCACCGTGCCGCACCTCTAACAACGATTGCCAGATCTGAAGTTGGACTAATCGTTTCAAAGCTTCGACGTTTACAGCACCACCTATGAGCGTTATCGCCTTCTAAGATGGAGAATTGAGGGCCATTTGTAAAGAGCCAGTTTGTACGAGATCGCTGTACATTGCAGAGGCAACGAAGCTTGTTGCCCACGAGGAGCCAAATTGGGAAAACTGTGAATTGAATGGTGGAGGTTATGAGTGGGGATGGTTCTTTTGATTGCAGGCAGCAACCATTGATGTGGTGGTTATGGTGCTTAGGACTTGGATAAGTCGTTGGTTGTTGGGTGTTATATGTTGTGGGTGTCACCAAGTGGATCGAATGACCCACGAGGGTGATTTTCGTGATCGGGAGTGTAGAGAGATAGATAGAGAGATTGGTGAGATGGGGATGGAAAAATAATTTAGGTTTTGTAGTAGGGATGGGTGCGTGGTTATAATTTGATTAATATCCAATTTTTGCTTAAATAAACCTCATACTTGATTTTTAAATTAAAACTTAAATACCTGTTTATACGTAATTTCCTCTTTCATTAATATCATATTTTGGATAATTGAAATTGGGCTGAAACTCTATATGAAGATGGGCTAATATTGAATTTGGGCCAATTTAACTATAAAAATCCTTTTGCCTTACCATGTGGGTTGTGGCAAGGCTGGGCTTTATCCCAAGCCTGCCCCCTGCTAGATCCGCCTCTGCCTCGACCAACCTGTCACCCTTCCATTTTAGTACCAGCTTACATTTTCATAAAAAATCGAGTTTACATTCAAAGGCTCCTTGCTTGACAACTTTTAATAATCAATATAGACATATGAACTCATCTACATAGAGTTACAAGGAAGGGTAGGATAGCCGCTGGATGTTCTTTCTACGAGTCGAGAACTGTGGAAAATCTATGCTCAATTATGCTAACGTCACATTCTGCAGCCAATACCATGATTGCATTGAGACAAAGCCCTAGTTAAATTCCTAGTCCCCTTCGTTCATTTCACATACATTTATTTCTTTTTGAAATGTTTGAGACAGGTAAAACTGAATCCAACAAATAGTAATTCTACAAGTAAACTTTACTTCCATACCTCGTCAATAATATCAGCAGAAATGAATGATATGATATACAAAGTTTTCCTTCCTTTCTTGTTTAAAATGGTGTTATAAAATTAGCTATCAAACTTTTGTTCCCTAAAATTTTCAAATGTTGTTGACCTTTGTGCTAGAGTCGATGGTTGTTCCCTGGTTCTGGGGTCTGGGGGGAAGAACTCTCGAGGCGAAGTAAGAAATCAAAGAACTCTATAATTTTTCTTCTTCTTCAATATATTATAAATTTACAATGTCATTATATAGCTAATAGCTGTCGCACTAAAAATGAATCAAATTTTCTTACATTTTGTTTTATGAGTCATACCTGGAGGAATGATAGGTTCTTTTATTTTTTCGTGTTGTTTTTATTTTACTAATTCTATAAAAAAATGTGAATGAACCATTTTACTCTAGTAATAATGACTTTCACCCAATTTGCACATGAATGATGAAAGATTGAAGACTAAAATGTCATGTTTTTAAGATTGTAGAGTACCTAACTATAGAGAGCATAAGTTGAGGTTCAACTGTGCAATTTATATGAGGCTTTGTTTTGTTCTAATCCGTATTATGCCTATATTGCTTTTAGCCATTTCTGTAGCTCACTATAAGCAAGGTTTTTAACCCAATGAAAAATTAAAGGGTCCGGGTCAAAACTTCCTGTTCTTACACATATAAGCACAATATGAAAATATTGAAAATATACATAATTTTTCATCAACATAAAGCGAAAATTGTATTAAAACCTAAATATTAAGATTTTAAAATAGCGACAATATTGAAAACAACGTAGTAATCTTTATGCTGATATTGATCTATTCCTAATGAATTTTTATCTCTAAGGCAATCAAGAAACACAATTAATCACTGCTAGTTTTTGGTACAGCCGTCTGGTTGTTCTCTCAAAACTTCAAAAAATATATATATATATATATTAATAATAATAATAAATAAATAAATAAACAAATAAATTATTTTCAATCACATTCTTCCAATAAAATAATTTTACATATAAACCCAAATAAGCTACAAATAACAATCTCGTTCATGCTATTTAACAATTTTATACAATACTACTTACCAAACAGATCCTATAAAAATTAAGAGAGTGATGCTACAATTACAGTGGCCTGATTCATAGGCCCCTGCCAGGGAAGACACAATATGGATCTCACAATAATTTTTTTTTTTTTAAATACGGGTGGGCCCCTCCACACAGTGAGGGGCCTGTAAAGCCCCCGTAAAAGAATGCCCTGTACACATGGCATTCTTCAAATTAGAAATGGGCTTAAGAGCAAGAATTGCAATTACATTTATATGAATAACATCTAACATTATTTTGCCTGCTGAATAAAGCATCTCTTGACATAAAAACTAGACCACGTGCAAGAATATTCATAAAAGTCTTGAAAAGAAATAACGAAATTACAACCCATCGTTACCAGTTAAAAATAATGACAAACTGTATACAAAGACCAAGCCTAGTCAAGAGATACGCAAGGTCAGATACATTTATTCTCTAAAATGTTACAAACCAAGAATTCATAAAGTCGATGTGCACTACAGATGATTCGCTTCAGCTCTTTTGAGCCTATTCTTCAGCCTTCTGGTAGAAGAAGAAAGAAATAACATATGAGTATATCAAGAAGAAAATACATATATTATGGAAAATCATTGCTAATCTGAATTACAAACAAAATTATAAGAAAAAGGAACTTCAATGATTTGAGATTTGATCCATATATGGCCACTATTTCCAAATTGTTTAAAATTGGTAATATCACTTTTTATCTATGTATTTTTAGGGACCCACAAATACTACTCACTAATTCACCAATCATTTCTATCTTTTTTTAATTTATAAACCGTTTATAAACAACTCCGAGACATGCTTTCGTTCATGTGTAAATCAGGCATTCAGCAGTTTGGCAAACCCTTGCCACAGAACCCCCAAGTCAAGAACAAAGTTTAGATATTAGTAATCAACTAATCATCAGTTAGTAACAAAATAAATGTTAAGCCTCTGATCTTGCATCCCATTCTCTGGAAACTAGACGGACTAGTTAAGCGGCTTAGACCTGGCCAATGAGGGCTCCGTATAATATGAGCCAGGCGATTTTGAATCCAAATTGGCCTATTTATCATCCTTACATTAGATAATTACAATTTATTTTGGCATTTGTCAGATGAAAGGCTAAAAGAGCCCTTTTCGAAATACAATGGCACAAAGATAGTAATATAAACTCTATCCCTAATTTATCAGTCAAACCTAAACTGTGAAGGTTTTTGGCTCTCTTTTGGAAGCTTTATTAATTGGAGCTATCCAAACTCCCATGAAGAAGACGGAAAACATTGTCATTGCTGTTAATAGTGAGACCTGATTTTCTGATTCATTGGCACACCCCATCTCGTTAATTGCTTGAACGAATAATGTGATCGACCATTTAAACCAAGAACGATTGAATTAAGATTAATTTACAACAAAGATGGCATACCTTTATCCATTGAATTCTGAGAAACATAATATTTGCGAAGCAGTTGCACAAGAAACTCATTTCTTTCCCTTACCCTAACTTATTGGGTACCAAACTATAAGAATTCAATACGCTCTATACGGATGGAGAGAGGACCAGCTCCTTTGTATTTATAGAATGTCAAAAATGCATTTCCTTTCCATACATTTATTCAGCCCTTGTTTGGTCCCCATTAAATTAAAATTCATCTCTCTCTCTCTCTTTCTTATTAACCACACATTCTTCAATAAAATAATATTACACGTAAATCTAAAAACTTTTCCTTCCTTTTCAACCACACATTCTTCAAAAAATTACTATTCCTTTCATTATAATTTAAAATAATGGGGCCCAAACAAGGGCTCAATACGATAAGAAGCTAAGAATACAATAGTGTCATATCAATTACAAATATATCTAATCTCTCAACTTCTTCAGTGGAATAGCAATTGAAATATCAAATGAAATCAGTAAAGATTGAGTTCTATTTGAAATTAATACCATCAAACTGACATAAGGTAATTTATAAGACAACATCAAAATCCTTCAAACAAAGGAATGTTGGTCTCTAACATATTGAATGAACATATGTGATGGAGATATGTTCTCAAGTCCTATTTCTGCATGCAAGCGCTATACTTGTAGAAGAATTGTAGAAGAAGGAAACGTGGGAGAGAAAGAAGACAGGAAGAGAAGATGGAAGAGAAAGTGAGAAGAGAGAGAGAAAGAGAGGGAAGAAAAGTAGAAGAAGAAAGGCAGAGAGAGAAAAGTTTATTCAATTCTATCAAGTTTGTCTATTTCAAACGATAGCCACTTTGTTCTGTCTAGTACAAAACATTAATGAACTCTAAACAAGGCTTTAGCTTAACCTATCTTAAGTAGGAAATAAAATTAGAGACAAGAAAATTCCTCACAATAAAATCTAACCTCTTTTCCAAAATTAAGCATTTGTTCTTGATAAGTCGTCAATGGAATATTTCTTTAAATCTCCAGCGTTCTCTCTCCAATAGAGAGAACTCAACTCCAATGAGAGAATATAATAGTATTTTCAAGATAGCAAAATTTCTCCATAGCAAATATTTACATTGAACTCGTATGGCAACCTAGCATATCCATCCAAAAGAAAGATCGCTCCTTGATAGATGTTACAGTCTATCTTGCAATGCCATAGTCGAGTTCTAACAATCGAGGAATGATTGAGATTCTTAAAGATATGATATTGAAGACTTGTCAATTTTAGATTACTTTTATTTCGGTTTATTGTTATTTTCTCTTTGACTCAGTTCGAGTTTTCTTTCCCTAGCTAGTTTTCTACTTATATTAGACTAAGTAAAACCATATATAAAGAGCGTCAATGCATTGCATTAGACAGATTTTGATATTGAATAGAACTGGCTTCTCTCTCTCTCTCTCCCTCTATCTCCATCTTTTCTTATTATCTTTTTCTCTTACTCTTTATTTGTTCACCACTTCTTCCTCTCATCTCTACTTCTTCCCTCTTATCTCTTTTTTTAAAGTTACATAGTTTGTTAGCACTTACTGCATCAACTATAAATATAAAGAAGCTGGTCCTCTCTCTACCTATCAAGTGACACACAATTCCATCAATACAATGCTCAATTCCTACTCTGAATTATCTTTTTTCGCTCCCTCTTCTTCTTTTTCTTCCTCCTTTTGCTGACTGATTTTCTTCTTTTCAGTTATTGTTGTGGTTAAATTGATTTTCCAAAAGAAATAACTTGCTCTAATACCAAATTGATGTAGGACGCAACAAACAAGAACAAGATTGAGAAAATGATGAAGAGAGAGGAAGGAGAAGAAAAAAAAAGAGATAATTTAGAGGAAAAATGTGTGCATTACAATTAATAGACCCTCTTTATATAGAGTCTAAGCAAACTAATTTGAGAAGGAAACAATGTAAATAAATCCTAATTTAGTCAAAATAGAAAATCTATCAAAGAATAATCTAATTCTAATATAAAATCTATAATAAATTAATATAAAATAACTAATTTTATTCCCCACCATCTTATCTCTAGGAATTCAATGGACAAAGGCATGTTTACTTTATTGCAAATTAATATGTGAAAAGTCATAAAGTTCTAAAAAAAAATTATTATTGATTATGTAAGGATTAACACTGACAAAACAAGCAATGTATACACCTAATTAAAATTAATTCCTTTCAATTTGTGGATACCTGACGGCGACTAACTCTAACTATATAATCTAGCAAGATTATGTGATTCATGTTGGAATTCCAAGATAATTTTATAGGTGCGAATTGGAAAAGTCTCCAATTGGTGTGATGACTAGTAACGACTCTTCAATTGCAAATGGTGCGAATCAAAGAGGCATGTTGTTTCCTAATATGTATAAAGTATGACTACTCAAAAAGGTCTACATTAAAAGTCATAATATGACTACTCAAAAAGGTCTACAATGAAAAGTCATAATCTTTAGATAAAGTATAATCTATACTATTAAAAATGAAATGGTGCAATCTGTTGAAGATTCCGGAAATTAGGAGCAGATTTGGTGGTCATTTGTCCCATAATTCATGGCTCTAAATAGTTCATTTCTTTATTTATATGATTGACATATATTTAAATTTGGAAGTAATCCCTAGAATAAAGGAATATGTATGTCTCATGACACTATAAATATTTGTACCTTGCTGGAATTAATAACAAGACAGAATTATTGTCCTCCTTCGTGGTTCTCTCATTTGTTTCTCTTCCAACTTTATGGTATAAAAGCTGAGGGCGATCTGAGGAGGTGAAATGGTCAAAACGGCCATGACAAGTACACGCAGAGAGGAGGAATCAAGAGTCTCAACAGGGACCTCTGATCCTATCTCTACAACTGTACCCACCGCTCTGAATCATGCTCCTATGGCTACAATCTCTGAAACTTCCACTCTCCAAATTACCATGACTCGACTAAATGGCAGAAACTTCCTCCAATGGTCTCGAGCTGCCCTAATGGTTATCCGTGGTCGAGGACGTCTGGGATATGTAACTGGAACCACAGTAAAACCAGCAGAAAATGACCCAACCTATGCAACTTGGGACGCTTGTGAATTCAATGGAAGAAGACATTAAAGAATCATATCTATATTATTCTACGGCGAAAGAACTGTGGGATGCTCTCACTGTTGCCTTCTCCGATCTGGAAAATTCTGCCCAACTCTTTGAACTCCGGAATAAGGCACGAAACTTACACCAAGGAGACCTTGATATTACACAATATTACAATACTCTGCAACGGCTATGGAGGGAAATTGATATGTATGTTCAAATCGACTGGGAAACACCAAGAGATGCCGAGAAATACAGAAAACGGGTGGGAAATGGGAGAATTTATGACTTCTTGGCTAGATTGGTACCGGAATTGGATGAAGTAAGGGGTAGACTACTAGGTGTGAAACCAATCCCAGCAATTGATGAAATTTTTGCAGAAGTCAGACGCGAGTCCAGCCAAAGACGCGTCATGCTTGGAGATTCCAAGCAACATCCCATGGAAAACTCAGCTCTCGCCTCTCGTGGTCCAGAACCGCCGCGAGTGACTAGGAAAAATAGTAGTTCATGGTGTGACCATTGCAAAAGGGCGAATCACTCTACCGATCGGTGTTGGGTCCTACACGGTCGACCACCAAACCGAAAGCAATGGATTCGTAATGATGGGAGACCAAATCCAGTCTACCGTGAAAAAAATCTGTCCCGTAATCCCACCGGGTTCTAGAGTACTACCGAACAGGCCCAAAAATTTATGAAAATGTCTCTTTATCTCTCACCAAGGCCCAGCTTGAACAACTTTATAAACTTATTACGCCTACGTCCAGTGGCCAGTCATCTTCGGGTTTATTGACTGAAAAAGGTAGTTTTATTTCAGCATTGACCGGCAGAAGTAATTATGAACATTAGGTTATAGACTCAGGGGCCACTGATCATATGACGGGATGTAAAAAATTATTTCATTCTTATTCACCATGTCCTGGACATTTTAAAATAATTTAAAATAAAAATTGCAGATGGGTCGCTCGCTGCAGTTGCTGGAATGGGAAGTATTAGACTGAGTACATATGTTGAAT